TCTTTTATATGTATTTACCGTCCTGTGAATAAACAGTATAAGTGTAAATATATTATTATAAGTGTTATTTGACTTATTTTTTTGCTTTCAGGTAATTTAATAACACGTACGATGCTGATCAAGAAGTTACTTAATAAATAACCCTGAAGATGAAATAAGATTATAAGAATTAGAAGTAAGATTTTACTTTAAAGAAGTCTAAACAAGAACAACTCAAAAGTAAGTACCGCTTGGATTCCTTAGCTTTTAGCGAATTTCCCTATAGGGAAGTAGCTATTACCGTACCGTAGGTAAGACATAGGCTCGGGAACGATTTACTTTTTCATTTTTATGTCCCCAGAGGCCAAAAACACCATTCAAATTTGTATTTATGTATATGAGTGAAAATTTAAAAACGCACGTTTTCAGGAAAAGCACTTTTAAAATTGTTTGTTCCGTTTTTTGAAACTTTTTAAATTTTTTTATTTCATTGACATTTGAAGTTTCATAAAATGTCCATGGTAAGGCAATATCTTTGTTGATTTTGTATTAATAGAGGATCTTTGATGGGAAAACACGAAATTTTGTCACGACCATCACGGACATGAATGTAAAAAATAGTTAATATTATTTTTATTACTATGTTTTGCTATAAATTAATTTATTTTTATGGCCATTAGGCCTATACAATAAACAGCTCACTGAGCTTTTGGTATATTTGGTTTTTCTAGAAAAAATAAAAAAAACTAAAATAAAATTGAAAAAAAGCCAATAAAATCTTTTAAGTTTGTATAACTCCGAAAAAACTTATCTTAGACCCGAAAAATCGTTATGTTTTTATTGAGGTGTGCTTCTTTTGTGTATAAAACATTGAAATATGATGATATTTTAATTTTTTAAATTTTTATGATAGAAATCATAAACGTGATGGTCAGGGACAAGCGGTACGGTCGTGAATTGTCTGGAATAATCTAAATCTTTCTAAACAATCCTTCAATTATACTGTTAGTTATAATAAAAATATGTGTTTAAATTGAACTAAAATGTTCAATTTAAAATAATATTTAAGTTATTGTCACAACCAAACACAGTATACACAGACTTGGAATTGTTTGTCACATTACTTCAAGTCAGGCCAACATGTGACCTAAGCCCTCAGGGCTCTCACCGTTTTTGGCATTTAGATACTTCATGACCTACACCGCATCCCGGTCAAGGTCGAGCTTCTTGGCGCGGAGAATACCCTGGATGTAATGTGACACACAGGTCCAATCGTCCTCACCCTCCGTCATCATCGGTATGACCGTGTCCACTGACAGCAGTCCTACTTACTATTGAGCCTCCAGGCGGGGCCTTTCCCAATGCTGGCAGTGGAAAAAGGTATGTTCCATGTCATCGGGAATGCCTGGGCAGTATATGTAATCGGGTGACACGGCTTTGCCCATCTTGAACAGGTACGACCGGAAAAAGCCGTGACCCGTCTGAAATTGGGTGAGGTAGTAGTCCACCTCTCCGCACCACCGATTAACCCAAGGTTGTACTTGCTGTATCAGTCGCCTGGTCCAGTGTCCCCGAGTCTCCTGTTCCCAGCTCTCCTGCCACAGTTGGTAGGTGCGGGTGCGTTCCTCTGTTCGTGCCTGGTCCTGATAAATTGCCTTTCTCTCCGCTGCAAAAAGTTTGACGGGGATGACTCCAGCAACCACCAGGACGGCGGGTTCGGACACTGTTCGGTAGGCGGATGCAACTCTTAGTGCTGCCTGACGCTGCACTCGGGCGAGCCGCATCCTATATACCTCCTTATTGAGAGCGTCTGCCCACACCTCAGCACCGTACAAGAGTACGGACTGGACAGAAGACATTAACAGCCTTCGACGGCTGGACCGATGCCCTCAGACATTGGCCATCAACCGGCTAAGAGAGGAAACCACCCTAGCGGCCTTGTACGCCGTACGGAAAATCTGATCCCTCCAGCTAAGCTTGCTGTCCACCATAATCCCAAGGTACTTGGCAGAACGAACGGTCTGGACTTCGACGGCCCCTACCCTCAACGGCACGATGGTGTCAATCCGTTTTTTTGTTAATATCACGATCTCAGTTTTGCTCAAAGCAAGCGAGAGACCGTGGTCTGTCATCCATGCGTTTATAGTACGCATAAATCGGTTCAGCTTTAGCTGAGCCAGCTCAACGCTACGTGCAGCTATCAAAACTGCAACGTTGTATGCGTACCCAACCAAAACAGTTTCCTCAGGCATTTCAGACCTCAGAAGGCTGTCATACGCGACATTCTAGAGGTCTGGGCCGAGTATGGAACCTTGGGCAGCACTGGAAGTGACACTCACCGTCCGTGGGCCCTCTGTAGTGTCATACATGGGGAGGCGGAACCGGAGATAATCCTCTATGATACGCATGAGGTATGCTGGGATGTGGAAGGTGTTTTCCAGAGCATCCAGCATATCGCACCACCTCGCGGAATTAAATGCGTTTCGCACATCGAGAGTTACGAGCAGCACAACCCTACGAGAGTAGTGGTTAAAATCCTCAGCTCTCATCACAGCTTGCTTCACCTCACCAACAGCGTCTACCGTAGATCGCCCCATCCTGAATCCATACTGCAAGGGGACAGGTCCCCCGCAGCGACCACGGCTGAATTCAGTCGGGAACGGATCAACTTCTCGAGGACTTTGCCAGCCGTATCCAACATACACAGAGGTCTGTAAGAGGATGGCAGGTCTGGGTGTCCCTTCCCCTTCCCAACAAGCACAAGCCTAGCTGTTTTCCAGCACGAGGGGAAAACTCCTTCGACTAGGCAGGTGTTGTACATGCGCAAAAGGATCAAGGGGTTAGTAGTCAAAACCTTTTTGAGGACTTCGCCGGGTACCCCATCGGGTCCAGGAGCCTTATTGTTCTTCAGGGATAGGACGGCCGCCTCCACCTCTCCAAGACTGAAAAGTGGTACGTCATCCACCCTTCCAAAATCCTGCAGTGGGCGCAACGTGTGAGCCGGGAAAAGGGATTCGACTATCCTCTCCATAGTGGCCCCATCCATGACGGAAGGTGGAGAGCGGGTGCCAAGTTTCTTGGTTACAAGTTTGTAACCCAGGCCCCACGGATTGGAATCGATATCATCCCTTAATGTCTCCCAGCAACTGCGTTTACTCCGGTTGATGGCTCGACGAAGAGACCTCCTAGCCACTCTGTAAGCATCCGACTTATGACGTCTGTCTACAGGTTCTCTGGCCCTGGTAGCAAGTCTTCTGGCTCTCAATGCTGACCGACGCAATTCCGCAATCTCGGCAGTCCACCAGTACACAGGTCGCTTATTGTACCGGGATCTCCTGCGAGGCATAGACTCATAGCAAGCCGAGACGATCAGTCCCATCATGGATGTAACTAACGCCTCTGCGTGAGCCACGCTAGTTGCGGGGGGAACCACTGGTGTCCCTCGTAAGATGGCTTCATTGAATTGTGCTGCGTCCAATTTTTTAATATTCCATCGAACGGGCACTTGACGAAACGCGGCTACTTGTCTCTGATGACCATCCAGGACATCAAAAATAATGCACTGGTGGTCACTGCCTGTGTAATCCTCCAGGACTCTCCAGGCCCTGATCCTTGGCAAAAGGGATTCAGATGCAAGGGTTATGTCTGGGTTTCGTTCCCCGCATCCCAGGGCGCCGGAAAGTTGGCGTGTTTCCCTCGTTGACGACAACGAGTCCGGCTCTGGCAGCAAAGTCCAGAATGTACTTACCCCGGGAATTGGTGAGGGTCATTCCCCACTCGACAGCCCTAGCTTAAAATCCCCACCCACGACGACGTCTCCTGTGGTATTGCGCACGCTCTCTTCCAGGCGGTCTATCTTCTCACGAAATTCACGGATGGCCTCGTTGGGGTTTAGTGAGGTAGACACTAAAGTAAGTGACATCCCTTCACCGAACCCAAACAAAACCTCGGCCCTTCGCGTGACCCCGTACTTGTACTTTCGCTGCATTACGCGCCCAGAATTTGTCACTCATATATATTTATATATATATATATATATATATACACATATATAATAATAATAAACATAACATTTCCCAATTTCTCTCTAAACTTTTTTAAAGAGCAAAAAGAAAAATCATTTGGTGTATCAACGTGTTTTTTACAGTTGTTAGTAAGGGAGAAAATTTAAAAAATTGTAAATTTTAAATTCCTATGTTATTCTTATGGAGAATATTGTAAAATGGTGAAGTTTGCTTGTCTATGGATATATTTTGACCAAACTTGCCAAATTTATTTATTTTATACTAATCTATAAACATTTTATTAAAAAACACACTTTATTAGTTTCCTTGAAGCAGCCTCGTTAGACTTAATGTTATTTTAATATATTTAATTGAAAATAAATTCAGACAAATTCGCTTAGTCAGGTTCGCTGCGGCGGGGGTATTTTAGTTCTTTATTTACAACATAGCCTTAATTCATCACCTCTTATCTATTCTTTATCACACGTTTCAATGAATGGTTTGTTGAGTCGAATTTGTTACTGATAGGTAACGGTTTATATTGGTTTTGATTTGGTTCTTTACCAAGGGACGTAAAACACTGTGTTGTATCCATTAGAGTATTTTAACTCATTAAGCCCCTTGGGTACGTCCTTTCATAAATCCATACTAAAAAGAACTCTATTATCATGTTGATGAGAAACCTAAGCAGGTTCCAAGATTGGTTGTAGCTCACTTGGGTACCTACACTATCAATGCAAAGATGGCTGACTCTGGTCAAACAGTGTTATTAGGCAATAGTACGTACTCCTTTCAAACTGACTAAGAAGGAATTCCCTGTAAATGTTACCTTTGCCATGACTTTAAATAATGTACAAGGACAGACGATTACCAAGGAAGGATTGTACGTACCAGACACAGTTTTTTACACATTCAGTTTTTTTTGGCTTTGTCAAGGGTTTGCTTTTTCAGTGAAAGCTATGTCTGTGTAAAAACAAAGCCACCAACACAACAATTGAATATGGTCATATTATTACTTCAAACACAGTGTTCAAAGATGTCCTGTAAACATGTAAAAACGTAAATATCTTAACATTATATTTTGAAAAGGTTAATTATCTAAAATGTAAACCCACATCTATTCCTGAAATAAGGGCCCATTCTTAAATCTACGATGCACTTACTACGCAGTATTAACTGTATGTTGTGTACCTACTTCAATAAGTGGGATTTGAGAAGGATTCAGTGTGAATGCTTCGCATGGGTCTGCTAGTTTCATGATTTGAAATAGATACAAAAAATAGCTTATATAGCTTAATGGTTTTGGTATTGTATGTGAAATAATTTCTGTAATATAGTGATATTACAGAAATTTTTTCAAATACTATAAAATATACTTTAAAAAGTTGCTATGATAATGTCCCAAAATTCAATATGTGAACTATAAATTTGCTTAGTGTGCAGTTTGTTATTGTAGAATATAGGCCTACTTGAATGATGGGTTTAAAACTGAAACCATAGATAAAACATACTCCCTTAGTAGATTTCTCATCCTTATGGAACAGCTGAAGACAATTTTATTGTTAGTTCTGTACGGTTTATGTAGAGGTCGTGTTTTGTTTACAATTTTTTCCCCGTTATTACAGCTATTTAAAACCTCGTTTAACCAAATAATACGATCTAACCATAATAAATTGTCCCCTAGTTATATAACCAAACGGTAAAGCACAAATCAAGAAATTAACCCTAAAATAATGGAAACAAAGTTTCATCAACACTAGCGCCTTTGTGTCACGTACATGAACTAGACACGAAAAACGTGCTTCAAAATTTACAATGGGATGAGAAGTCTACTTGTGTTGGTTAGTCTATGCTGAAACTTAAATAAACTCTTTTAAATCTTTTTACTTAAACACCAACTGTTGATTTTTAGCTGCTTGGAAAGGGTTTCAAAATATGTAACTTGAGCATTATTTTTTGATGATATGGAGGAGTTAAAGATTTTTTTTTATAAAAAAAGTAACAAAACCAAATCACCCGGAATTAAAAATAGTACCACATCCGTCACTTTAACATCAATAAGCTTAATTTTAGGAACAACAATAAGTTTAGAAACAATCATAAATGAGTTGTAGGATATGTAAGTTCAATACAGTCCATTTTTATTATATAGAATTTCAATATAAAATTGGGTCCAATTTTTTAAGGTTTTAAACACAATTTTTCTTAATTGTTTGTTCTTTTGTAGCCATGATAACATTTTTTAATTTTTAATATTTCATGAAGTCTCTCTTGTTTTTAATTGTGTATCAGGTTGTTTCCCCTAAAATTTTGCTTATTAATTTGTGTTAAATCACTGCGTAAAGTATGCCTATTAACGTTTGATAACCTATCCTTTTCATGGAGTTTATGATTGTGCTTGTAGTTTACTTTATCATCTTTATGTGGAAATCCCAGGTTTGCTCCTTTTAAAGGGTTTGCATTTATATCCGCCCTCTGATGCTTCTTCCTCTCACTATATTTATTGTTAGTGACTGTTTGCATTCGTTTACCAACACCTTTGCCCGATGACTTGATCTTCTTTTTCTTCTTCTTTGACTCCTCACTGCTCTCATCTTCATAATCTTCGTCACTTTCATCATAATCTTCATAGTCATCATTTCCATAGTCAGGATTACTTATGGTTTCACTATCTTCTGCTTCATCTTCATCAGAAACTTCAGATGTCCCACTGTGATGACTATCATCGCTGGACTTGCTGGTTTTAGAATCTTCACTTTCATCTTCGTATTCGCTACTCTCGTATTCCTCATCACCATCATTCTCGCTATCTTCAGTTCTGCTTGTATCGTTTTCAATATCTTCATCCCCAGCCGCCGTGTGATTTCTAAGGTGGTCTGGTGTTTCGGTCGTTGACATGTTCATTCTTGCGTAATGACGCTGCAATCTCGCCTGTTTAGCCTTTTGCTGCCGCCGCACTCGTCTTGCGTGAGTCAGCATTCTGAGTCTCTTACGCTCGAACCTTCTCAACCGCTGTTTTTTCTTTTTCGCTCGTTTCCTTTGCAACGTTTTGTTCACTCTTCGTTTGACTCGAGTCGCCCCATCACTTTCTTTTAATGTTGTTTTATACCTTTCTATTGGATCCTGTTGTAATTTGTCTCTTTGATTTTCTTTAACTCTCTCAAGGGCATTGATCAATTCCTCCTTTTTTACTGTTAGCTGTGAAAGGAATTGCTGAATATCTGGCCAGTACTCTTCACTTGCAGTTAAATAGAATTGGGATATGATTTTGAAAAATTCAGGCGATTCTTCGTTCTGAAAAAAACCAGTAATGACCCTCTTTAAAATTGGGTGTATTTGGTTTTGTTAATTGTGTGATAATACATAGAAGTATAAATATACATAACCAAAACAACAGGTATTAAAACAACAAGCTGATATAAAAAACTTATTTATTTCAGTTCATTATTAATTGTACAAGTACAAGTTTTAATCATCTAATAACGAAAGTGGTTTAGGTCAGAAAACATTATCCATGGAGTAATATGTCCTTGTAAGTCATTATTTTATTTACAGTGTCAGAATTGTGTAGTGTCCTTTTAAAGAAGCAATCTTCATATTTTAATTATGCTATTATCATTAATGGATTAATTGAATTTTAATTGAAAGACTTAGACTAGGGGTTGATTTCTTATTTAAAACTTTACAGTAGTGTTTAATAGATCAGCTAAACATACTACTCATATACTAGCATACAACTAATACTAAATAAACACATACAACTTTCTTTTATGAAATAAACTGTCAATGTTGTTGTTTATGATTTACAAAATGAGTTTATTAAAATTGATTGAACATTTTTAGTTATGTGATGGTATTATTTGTCAGGCCTAACTCCCATTAACTTCCCTAATAAAACTAGTATATTTATTCCTTCTTTTCCACTTTTACATTTCCTTTCTTTGTATCTTTCTTCCTTTTCTCTGAATGGGACTCATTTGCAGTAAACTCCTGTGGTTTTCCAGACCCTTTCTTGTTTAAACCCTCACTGTTTCCTTTCTTCGTCTCTTTACTTCCCTCTCCATCACCTTCATCATTATCCTTCACTTCACCAGATTCTTTAGTGTCCCCATAAATTTGTTCGTCATAGTAGGCATCGGAGTCTTCTGATTCAGATTCAGGATAATCATCGTATCTCTCTTTCATCCTTTCCTCATATATGGCATCACTGTCTATTTCACTTGTGTCATAGATTGAGTCGTACAAAGATTCATTCAACTGGCTGCTCTGTGGTTCATAGTAAATGCCGTAGTAATCTGTTATAGTCTTGTTGTATGGTCCTGTTCCTAGTTTCTTATGTCTTAATCTACGTTTCTCCTTTAGTTTCTTGTCATGCAGTCTCTTCCTTCGCTCCTTTTTCTCTTTCTGCCGCCGGATGTGCTTTATCTGCCTTGGAGACAGTTCTTTTTGTTTCTTCTTTTTGCGTTTTTTCTTTTCAATTTTCTGTTTCTGTTTCAGTTTACTCATTTTTGGAGAACGTTTTTCTCTTTTTTCTGTCAAAACCGATGGCAAATTACCATCTTGTCCCCCAATCAATTTGCTCAGATTATTAAGCTTTTTGGTCAAGTCTGAGAGAACTTTTTGGAAAGTCTGGAAAAGACCAGAAAATTGTAAACAAATATTTTAATTAATAAAATAATTTAAATAACGTTGTAGACAGGGTTTTTAAAAATTTTATTTACTTAGCCTATAATATGAAAAGATTTGCCAAATAATTGAGCTATTTAACAAGTTTTAAATGCAGAAGTGACTCAAGTATTTTTGCAATTTATCGTGTTTTTGTTTTATGATTATAATTAAGTTAATACCAGGTGGTTGGCTATCAAAGCAGTTTACAGCATTTAGTTTTATTATGTTTTCAGGTTATCCTAACTTATAGTTAGCAGCTATTAATTTTAACTTCTTATTATCTCAAGTTGTATTTAATCTGTCTTTGATTTATTTTAACTTCTTATTTTCTCAAGTTTTATTCAATCTGTATTTGATATGTGGAGGTCTCTTAGGGATCATTTTCTTATTTTTTCATAAAATAACAATTATTTGAATTAGGCAAAATGGTTTTTTGATTGTGTCAAGGAAAATTTATAAAGGTTGTTTCCGGTATTAAAAAAAATAATATTTTCCCTATGATTTAAAAATACCAGATCCAAAACATTTATCTACTTAAAAATACAAAAAAAAAAAAAAAGTGGTTAAAGCATTATAATCAAACTTTAAATTGATAAACACGTTATAAGACTGTTGATATAACGAGTGAGGGATTTAATAATTTCAATGTGTTTTGGTGATGTTCTTAGTCTCGATGAGTTCATAACTGACGTCGTAGACCTCTGACTTGTCATCCTCCCCAAAAACCTGCCATCCGTCATAGTCATTCTTTTTATGAACTTTCTCCCATTTAATTTCAACTGTTTCAGATTCAGATGAGCGATAAATACTGCGCTTTCTCCGTGTCTCATCCTTATCTTCCTTCGCCCCGGTTATATCTTGGTCCTTTTTGTCTTTCTTCTTTTTCTTTACACCCTCATCCTCATTCAAATCGTTAGTTTTTTCGGGTTTCTTCTTTTTTTCCTTGTCTATTTTCTTTTCTTTCACAAGTTTTGTTTTTTTATCAGACTTTTTTTCTGCAGAGTCTTTTGTTTTTTCTTTCTTTCTTATTTTTTTATCAGCCTTTTTCTCGGTTGAGTCCTTTGTTTTTTCTTTCTTTTTCTTTTTAAGTTTCTTTTCTGAGGCATCTTTCTCATCTGATTCTGATTTAGCTTTTTTTCTCTTTTTCTTTTTTCCAGAATCATCTTCGACATCAGTTGTTTTACCAGTTTTAACTTTCTTCTTTTTCTTCTCTTTAGATTTGGATTGATCACTTTCATCTTCCAATTTAGTCCTCTTCTTTTTCTTTTTTACAATCTCCTCACTGCTTGAAGTGTCTTTAACTATTTTCTTTTCCCTAGGATCTCTTCTGGGATCCTTTGGTGCTTCATGTATATTTTTAACAGTCATGATTTTCTTTGACTTCTTAGATTTTTTCTTCGGTTTTGGTGCCTTTTTATCAACACCCTTTCTACCTTTCCTTTTCTCTGGTTTTTTCTTGACTGCCGTCTTGACTTTTGTTTTCTCATCTTTTTCTTTAACTTCTTCTACCTCCTCCTCCTGCAAGCCTATTGTCATGTTTCGCCTTTCTTCGCTGGTTTTGTTCTCCCATTCATCATTGTAGAGGAGGACATGATGTTTATGATACCACTCATCAGTTGAATTGTCCTGTTCTCTGTATATGACATAGTGTGTCTCATTGATCCATTTAACAGTAGCTTCTTTATCCTCCACTATATTGTGAGTTCCATTAGTCCATAATATTTCTTTTGATGTATCTTCCATCTGATAAGCTGTCTGTCGTGGAAATGCTCTTGGTTTTTGAAGTAGCCTCTCAATTTCTTTTTCATCCTCAACAACCTCTTTCACTGCTTTGTCTTCCTTGCTATTTCGAATTATTCGTCTTTTTCTCCGCAGGTCCTTCAATTTCCTCCTTTGCTTTATTTTTTCTTTGTAAGCTCCTATTTTACGTTTCCGCTCTTTTGGTGAGCGTTTGGCTCGGACGTGTGGCTTGTTTTCATTTAAAGGCCAGACGTGAAGAATTGTTTTCATATCACTTTTTCTCTCTGGTTTCAATACCTGGTTTTGGGGTTTTCTCTGTTTCTGATATATGTCTGCTAGGGTAGATAGTTGCCATCCTGGGTTTGGTCCTGATGGAGTTGTTAAAGGGTAGTTGTGCCACTCCTCTGAATCGGACATTGATATTGTGTAATCAGACTCATATTCTAGGTCAGATGTTTCACTCTGAAAAAGAAGGAATAAATTTTTGCTTCATTTCCCTGTCCTTGTAGCTTTAGGATATAGTTTACATTTTTCGTAAGATTATTAAGAGTTTTTAATTTAAGAGAAAAATTGTTCTAGTAATTAATTACACCTAGATCATTTAAGATTTATTAATTGGAAACTATATTTTGTAATCTTAAGGTGTGAATGTTCTAATTAGATAGTAGTTAGTAATGGAGATTCACTTATTTTGTTATTAATTTAATATTTAATTTATTTACCCACAAATATTTTTTATTTTTTGAATCTTTAGACTTTGTTGCTAATTCTTTAGACAGAGGTGGGAAGTAGAGTATTCTTAAAATAAAATAACAATATTTCTAAAAGTTATATGCAATTCTATTTATTTTTATTATCAGATCATGCTTGCAACTATTAACATACAGTTTTCATTGTTTTTGTAATATAATTTACTTTGTAAAAATATGCATCATGAAAAATGTATGACAATATAGCCTATCTTATTTGTTATGCTTAATTTATTTAATGTATAAAATCATTTTTCTTACTAGTTGTTTGATGTCTATCACTTTTAATACAATAATATAATGGTATATATTTCTTATATACCTTATTGAATTGTGAATGTAATTCAATATAGAGCATGTATGCAATATGTACATTTATTTTTTATTATCACTAGCTGATTCTATTTCATCGCTTGGCATGGAAATTCCTTCACCATCAGGAATTGATGACAGCTCCTCATAGCTTGATACATTTTGTCCTTCTTTGCTGACTTCACGTTTGACAACTGTCCTCACACCTTTATCTTCCTGTAAATTTATTTGATTTAAATTCTCTTTATTCCTATTGTTTTTTTTCAACTCTTTGTCACAACCAGATTGACCAGTTTTACTTCCTTCCATATTTCCGTGCATCATTGAATCCATTCTCTTAAATTTTACAGGTTTTTCCTCACTGTCAATATTTATTGGAGGGATGTTATTTGCTATCGATGTCAAAACAGGTCCATGATTCTGGGTTCTTTTAACATAGTGGTTTGTAAAACCAGTTTCAAAAGCATTATCTTGTACTGTCTTTGCCTCATCAAATTTTAATTCAGGGATTTTCTTTGCAATCGAATTAAAAACAACTGGGTCAGATGTCAATGATTGTATATTTCCCATGTTATTAGTACCAATTGATGTCCATTTTTTCCTCTCGTCTTTTATTTTTGACACTAAAGTCAGAGTTTCCCTAGGTTTTTCTTGAGCAATTGAATCAAATGTTCTTTTTTTAGCTGCTGATTGCAAAGGAATATCTTGTTTTATTGACTGTAAGTTGTGCAGATTTTCACCACCTCTAGACTCTATGCGTGGTTTTGTCATGGATACAGCATTCGGAGAAGATTTTAAGGTCATAGAATGAAGTTTTTGTATCGCAATATTTGGGGATGGTTCAAATCTCATGGATGACATACGGTTTAGTGGTTGATACCCAGGATTCATGTAATTATTATGTGCATTTTCTGAAGGGCTGATTCCAGGAGTCATGAAATTCCTGATGATTGGATACGAAGATAAAGAGAAAAAATTGAATTTCCTTGCAGCTTTTCTGACATTTGCCGATACCTTTTTATTTGCTAAAATCTGTTTTTTATCTTGATTTTGAGTATTTTCCTTTGCTAAAACATTTGCATCCTTGTGATCATCCTTTGTTTGTATGCTCTGAGTTTGATCTTTGGCTATAGTTAGTAAATTGTCATCACCCTTATTATTTAGGCCTTGTTGGGTTTTTATCTTTTTTGGATCACTCTCATATTTTCCTACTTTTCCTTGTTTCCATTTCGGACTTTTTCTGTATTTTCTAGGGAATTTTCTTTTCTTCCCATCTTCACCAGAGCTGCTATTGCTTTCGTCTTCACTACTTTCTTCTTCAGTACTTTCCTCAACACTGGTTACTTCTTCACTTGTCTCTGCTTCACTAGTATCTTCTTCGCTTCTTTCTTCCTCACTCTCTTCTTCGCTTTCCTCACTTGTACTCTCTTCTGTACTTTCTACCGCACTTTCACTCTCCTTTCTCTTTGATTCTGTTTTCTTTGACTGAGCCTTTTCACTCTCTTCATGTTCGTCACTGTCTTCATACTCCTTACTCTCTTCATTACTTATCTTATCCTTTTTCACATACTTTTCTTTATTTGTGTCTTTTTTCTTTACTTCCTGTCTACTTTTGCTTTCACTTGATTCAATATACGGTTCTTCAAAGAGTTCCTCAGTAATATCTGTTGTGCTGTTTGATAGTTTTTGCTTATGCTCTCGAAGTCTCCTTCTTTTTAGTTGCTCCTGATAATCCTTCTCCATCTCCTGATTGGCTCTTTCTGCTTCTTCTGTATCTGAATATTCTCCTGAGACATAACTCAAGTAGTCGGCAACATCAGGTCCTTCATGATTCTCTCCTCTTATGTTTCCTTTGCTATCGTAGTAATCATAGTCACTTGTTTCGTTCATCGGCGGTTTGTAGTGTCTTGGCCGTTTATGCTGTCGTGGTTTACGTCCCCTCCCTCCCCTATAAGTTCCATCTCCTTTCTTCTTAACTTTTTGTCTTTTGTCATACCATTTCCGTACTTTCACTGGAAGCCTTTTCACTTTAGTTTTCTTTGCCCTCCCAATCTTCTTTTTTCTTGTCATTTGTTTTCGATCTCGTCTGAACTGGGACATTTTTCGTTTTACCCGTATGTGATTGTCCTCTACTACTGTGTTTTGATCAGGTTTTTTATTTAGTAACCTTTGCTCGATTTGGATTTTGGCATTTTGTAAAAAGCGAAACAGAGCTTGGGGAATGTTCTGTAAAAAATCAGCAAAAGAATCGTTTGTTAAATGGTCTTCCTGTGCAGGGCTTTTGTATCTTAGATTTTTAAGTTATTGATATTCTGGTTAGTGAAATAGTTTTAAAAAGCAAATTGTTTATCTTTATTTTTGTCAATCTTTATCAGTAATTTATTTTTTGTTGGTTTTCTTTTTATATTTTTATATTTATAACTACAGTATTAATTTGTGTGGAGTTAAAACGTTTAAAATATTGGCAATTATGTCACATTCATGGATAAGTAAAATTTAAATATTTCAAAGTACAAGTTTATTATTTTGTGTACTGGGAGAAAGTTTTGACAACAAATTTATGAGTTATTATTCTTTTTTGTACTAATTTCCGTATAGCTTTCCCATATATACGTCATAATTTTACTGTACCCAATCAGCCGTTATGTTTAATCATATTTAGCATAAATTATTAGTTTTAATGAAGTAATCAATCAATTTTTATTACTAGTATTAGTCAGTATCATTCATCACTGTAATTTATTTCTAAAAAGTTTGTTTAAAAATTTCAAGTTTGATTTTTATTAAATTAAACTATGTTTTGGTTTCTTTAAGAAATGGTAATGTTTTTAAAAGAATACATTACATTCACTTTCCAAACTTGCAATACTGTTGATATAAAACCAGATTGGTTACCTGTTTTGATTTATGATCATTTGTTGGACTATAGTCTGTGCTGAAATTGAAAAGTTCCACTTTATGAAATGGACCAACAATAACTAGTAGTGTCCTGTGACCAGTTGTTATTGGAAGCATGTTAAACTACTTGCATTTGTTTCTTTTTTTTTGTTAATACTTATATATGTACATTAGTGCTTCAAGTCATAAAAAGGCTTCAAATGTTTGTAAAATTTGAACGCAAATTCCAGACAAGTTTTGAATTTGAATTCCTTTGATATTTAATTTTCATCTCTACAATAAGATATGTACATATTGAGATGAAAAAACTGCAAAGTAAAACAAATTTTAAATTGAATGATCCATCAGTATCAGTGGTATGTTCTGTATAGAAAGTAGATTGCAGTCAAAATATCCAGGCTGACTGTAAAATAGTTTAGATGGAGCACTGATACCCGGTCTCTACAGATTTTCAGATGGATTGATTAACAAAACTTTAAAAATTATTTATAATGAATCATACAACCATGATTCACTGATTGTAACTACGCTTAATAATTTATTAGAGAATTAGAGAATATATATTGTTATTTTCCATTTTTTTTGTGAGCTATAGTTGTTCAATTATCAACTAGAGAAAAATCATAGTGAAATCATCAATCAAAGATATTTACACAGTTCAGTCGGTAACTGTTGTTCCAAATTTCCATGTACTATAATCAAGAATTTATGTTAATTATGGTGACAGCTACAACAAAAGTGACACCATTTGCATACTTTTGTAAATTCGATAACAAAAATAATAAGTACAAAATAGAAAATAATACCAAAAAGTAGTAGGCCTACTGCTTGAGTGGCCAAAAAGAGCTAACTCTTAAAACCTTAACAATATTTGTAAAATGTTAAAATATATTTTAACATTACTCTTTTTAATTTATTTTTTTGCTTATTGACGACCAAACCAGTAAATTAGCTCTAAGAATTGCATGTACCCTACTCCAACTTACACCCGACATCAATTAGAATACTGATTTAAATCATGTAGGTACATGTATAAAAACTATACTTCCATAAGTACGTGAGTTAAATTGGAGGATTAAAGGTACATAAAGTATGCAAAGATGTCAGTTTTTTAAGGCGCTTAGTCAGTATCTACACACAACTTGTTTGTAGCTCATTAGGATGCTTACCACAAGGGGATAGCTGCCCGGGTCGGAACTGCCCGTCTCTATCGTCGGGATCATCCCTTCTCTCTCCCCCACCTCGGGTCGTATAATGTCATACTCCTCTATGTGCGTGTCTCGTATGAAGGGATTAGGTGTGGTCCGCGGGCTACGTGCCATCAGTTGGAATGGTCGGTTTATAAAATACAGAATCTGCCTTTTATCTCGCTTCTCTGACTCTTTTACCCTTCCTCCGAACTGAAATGAACAAATTTGTGTTGTACTTTTAACATTTTGATGCAGTTAAAATATTACAAGGTTTAAGTAGTTCAATATTAAGAGAAACTTAGAAAAAAATATTTATTTATATATTTTTTTATGAAATATTTAATTAATTAAGTTTTTGGCGAACTAGCGAACATTTTTTAACTTTTGGTTGAACTCACTCTCTGCACATTAAGTTGAAATCTACTGATACATTGAAACAAGAAATTAGATTTTGTTAGGTTATACATTGCATTTTTCGGATGTAAGAACAAATTGCGGTTTGACATTGGTATTTTTTTTAGCTACATTACTTTTTACAGTGGGAATATTGTCATTGTACATAAGGAAATTTAAACCTTAAGTAATAGGTAATAAAGTTCAATATCGGTTCAGTTTCCATCTAAGACATGCAAAAAACAAGTAATGTAATTTGTTTAACAATAAATGTTTGCATATTTCCTTATCATAATGTAAATACAAAATTAATGCTAAAAATAACTGATAATGAAAGAGAAGTTTGGATTTTGCTTGCAAGAGAGTGAAACCTATGAAACAAACTATGACCCTTTATATATAAAGTTATAGTGCTCAATATTTTTTTTTTTTCAGTTGATTTTGATTAACTGAAAGCTTGAATTGAAAAAAATACATACTGGATTGCTTAAGTTTGATAACGCTTCAATCGCTTCTGGGTAATAAATGGAGGGGTTGTAAAAATGGAAGTTGAGTTTTTTCAGCGGGTTCTGAAACATTGAACTCTAGTCTGTAACTTTCCTATGGATTCAATGTGTTAGTTAACATTTACTTCTTAACTGACAATTCAAATCAATTTACTCATCACAGAAATTCATAATATAATGGCTAATGTTCAACAATGAATATGTGAGTAGTACAATTCATGAAATACAAATATTGTTCACACAAGATGAATACAAGATCAAAATCATGTCTCGCTGAAAATTTTAAATGAGAAATATTAGTTGAAATATGTGGGCTAATGATTGTGACTAGAACTAGGTTCTAGCAAGCCTTCTATTCAGTACACTCTGACTCTTTCAATCAATTGAGAACTTGACCATAATCCAAACCATTAGGAGTTAATAAAAAAAAAAAACATTATTATTGCCAGCCAAATGAACTACTTTCATTTTCCGTTGTATTGTTTATAATATACACTGTGTTATACTGTGTGTTATATACTGGTCCAAAAAAGTAAAAAAAGGATCTTGTTAGTTTTGTAGTATAGTTTAGTGATTATCAAAACCATCCAATATATGTTCCAAAAACACTCCAACAAAAAGGAGTCTACTGCAGTTTCATGTTAAATAAAGCTTATCATGAGGTTGTTTTCTCAGAATTTTTGTAATGTTAAACCTTAACTAGCAAAAGGATGGCGAGTTTTTCTAAATACTGGTGCAAAATGACAAAAATACAATTCATCATATAGGCAAAACGTATCTTTTCAACCCTCGCACATTTAGTAAACTTGAGCTCATGTCAAAAAGAGTCACATTACACCCTAGTGATGAAATATTCTATTAAATAGCCTCCTGCAAAATAGGATTATTAGAGCCTCAGCATTAGATAGAAAGAGTAGGCCTAGACTTGATACTCATTTAGACATGTTAGAGTAGACTTGTCTGTTCATTTAATGACCTCACCTACAGTTAATACCTGTTCTGTATGCTGTGATGTTTTGGTATCCATTAGTGGTGGCCGGTTTATTTCAGGATATGATTGATGCATTACTACGTCCCTTTTGTCTCTGGCTTTTACTTTATGTTCCATTTCATCATATTCTGCTTCTCGTTTTGTTCTTGTGTTTTCTATTGGTCTTAGTTTAGGTTTCAACTGAGGGTTTATGTGTGGTTTGAATACAAGCTGGTTTGGTTTTAGTTTCTCCTCTAAAAGCCGGGCTCGAACCTTGTGTAGTTCTGAGTTCTGAAAATATTTAATTCTAAAAATTATGTTTTGAAAGATTATTTGTTAAATTGAAGCCTTGAACTGTTAACAGGATCAGACAAGACCTAAAAGTAACTCAACTAAATTAGAAAAAAAGGTGATTGTAGTTTTTTTGTGAGAAATTGATGTTTTTTGTGGGTCATTTGATAGTTTAACCCTTCCAAGGCTAAGGACGGATATATCCGTCAATCTTTGTTTACTTTCCGCGCCAAAAACGGATATATCCGTCCCGAGAAATTTATTTTCTGGGATAAAGACGGATATCCGTCCAAAAAAACTAAATGATATACAATGTTTATAATACGGTAATAAACATTACACTGCATTACAAATGGGTTATTTTATTTTTGTGGTTGGCAATAATAATTGCTGCAGTTGTTTCAGCTATTTTACACCATAGAGATGTGCGTAAGTAAATATTGCTGTCACTTGACACATGGTTGTTAGTGAGTGATGTTTACATTTTGTGTTTTGTACTTTATTTCTATGTTATTGAGCTAAAGTTACTAATGCAAACGATCTGAAATTTGAAGAGGTTATTGAGATGCTTAATAAAAGTATGTCTGAGGGGGGTTTTATACTTGGCAGTGAAAATAATAGTATGGAATGTGATGGATATGATGAACCTGAAGAACAGTCTTTACGTAGTGGAAGTCTTGGCGGAGGGTGGGATTGTGGTCATGGGAGCGGAACTGAGTGGTTTAGATTTACTTCATAATGATAGATACATTTTTATGGATAAAAAATAAAACAAGGGAAGGAATAGCCTAAGGTTGATGGATATATCCGTCTGCCGCCCAAAAGAATACTCAAGATTATTGTCAGTGTTCATATTTTGTGATTATCACTGAGGGCGGCAGACGGATATATCCGTCCACCTTATGTTTTTTGTGGGCCAAAGACGGATATATCCGTCAAATCAAATTTTATTTTCTTCATAACTTTTGTACAAAAATTAGTTCAGCCCTAAGGAAAATCTTTTTATGATCCATGAATTATTTCAAGTGAAATAAATACAAAACACAACCACTTAAGTTTTTAATTTTTGGCAAAAGATAATTAAGCTCCAGCCCTTCATTTAATTTAGCCCTGGAAGGGTTAACATGCTTAGCAGTTCTACAAGTCTCTTTTTCAAGTAGGTAGATAATAAATGATACGGTAATTACATTTATTATACAGGGTGATCAACTCAAGGAGGCCAACATTGGGATATCGGAAACGGTAAGAATTAGAGAAAACTTTAAATGGGGGACATTCCTTTATTTTTTGTAGCAGTTAAAACTACGAATTTGGTTTTTTGAAATTCAGCCGCCATTTTCCAATATGGCGGCCAACTTGGAAACTTCTTATAAAACACCCTTATAATATTTTATCATGTTTTCGGATAGAACATGTAAATCTAAAACTTTTTTATTCTTGACATTTTTTCTATAAAGCTACTCGTTTAGGAGTTAAAGCCTATGAAAAAATTACTTCCGGTGTACATTTCGCATCATGTGTATCTCCTAAACGAGTATGTTTAGAGCAAAAATGCGAGAAGTAAGTCTTAAAATTGTATCTACATTTCAAAAAGTCTATAAAAAACACAGTTTTTCACTTTTCAAGTTTGCTGCCCTTTTGGAAAATAGCCGCGATTTTTAATTTCTCCTCCTATACATAGTATATGGAGAAAGTATTGTTTTTGTCAACATTTTCGAGTTTGAGTTTTGAGTGGATATATCCGTTTTGGGCCCCCCTGAACCTAAAAAAGTGGTTTTCAAAGTGATGTCTGTGTGTGTGGATGTGTACAGAGCTACAGACTACATCTGTGGTCCAATTTTGATGACGTTTGATATGTAGGGAAATTTTGATTTTTAATTGTGATATTCCCACAAAAACCCATGAAATAACGGAAAATTCTGATTTTCCAAAAAATGGCCCGAACCACTTTGATCAAAATTTAGTATGTTATAGTCTTTTAAATTCTAAACGAAATGGTGCAAACCCCATTTCCGTAAAACTTAGGGTTCAATACTTATTGTAACTTATGTTATTTTCCCATTAAAAAACCCATAAAATAAAGAAGAATCAATGTTTAGGAAAAAAGCCAGTTTTGATCAAAATTAATGTGTTACGGAGAATATAATTATAAGAAATAGTGCAAACCCTAATTGCTGTAACAATTAATTATGGTTCAAAAGTTATTGCAACTTTTGTGATTTTTTTTTACAAAATATCATAGTTACTGCCACCGCTTACCCATGATAAAGGTTGTTGACAAGCTTATGGGAGAAAGTATGTGTCAGATTGCTGATACTGTTTATTTGATAATAGAATTAATATGTTTTACATATTTTATGGTTTTTTTGAATGTAGATGCTATTTTAAGACTTATTTACTTCAGCCCATTTAAAGTTTTTTCTAATTCTTACCGTTTCCGACATCCCAATTGCGGCCTGCTTGAGTTGATCACCCTGTATAGAGCTGAAATTTGGCATGTATTTTTATATTTGACCCTTGTTACTTTCAAAGAAAGTTGAGCTTTGCAAGATTCATCAGGGCCTCACTTTAAAATGCTTTAAATATCAATGTACCTAATATATTAATTTAAAATATCATTTGCTCAATGGATAACTGGCTGTAAATATTGTATCTACCCGGTCCGCTTGAGCAGCCCAGCGCCCCTTGTGAACCCACTGTAGCCATGGAACCTCTGGTTGGGGCCTCAGACGTGGTTGGCGGGGCTCTACTTTATGCCCCCGCGAGACCTGAAAACATATGTCTACTTATTACACTATAAATTATGGTTTCTAAAGAATCCAAGTTTGTTACCATCTTTTTTACACACAACTTTTAATCTTTGAATGTTCCGTTTACAATTCAGAGTACTCGGCAGTTATTCCACTCACATGATTGAAGAGTGGTTGTGTTGGTGGAAAAATAACTAATGTAGTCCATAAAAACAATTTTTTAAATATATTGAAATTTACTATATTTTTTACTTGGTAAAACCTATGTTATTACCTTGTCCATACTCCTGTGAGGGTTTTCTTTGTCATGGCTGTAGTGATGAGGAACTACCTTTTTTAAGCTTTCTGAGTAACGCTGAAACCAATTAGAAATTAGGGCTTTCTTAAAATAAAAACCTCTTGAACAATCTTAAAAGTTATAAGCTTTGTTAATTCTAAGCTTGAACTTAGCGTTGTTACAGAAGTCCTTGAAGGATTTAATGAAGTCTTGGGACAAAATAAAAGTTCCAAAGTGACTGGCAAAACAGAAAGTAGTCAAGGTAGACTAATTTCAATACCTTTTATATTGTTATATTGAAATATCAATTGACTGAAACCATTGCTCCAAATAGATGGGGTTTTAAGCATCATGTTGTTAGCTTCTGCATCACTTTTTGTAAATATAACAAAAGTGGTTAAATATCTCTTTCTTTTTTTAAGCTCTACAAAATGGTTTGGAAAGAAATTGTAAACTTTTATGTTTTAGGGTCAAAATGAGAATAACTGATTTTTACCCAATAAAATCCGCCATAAAAACCCGTTCCTATACTGTAGTTCGATCAGGTCCGATCATGCTGGTTTACGAACTGGTTTGAATAAATGTAGGTTTACACAAAATTTCATCAAAATCACACACATTTCACATACACACACACACACACACACACACACACACACACACACACACATATATATATATATATAAATATATGTAGGCTACATACATTTAAATACCCCTGCCACAGCAAACATGCAGACTAAGCAAATTTCCATTTACCTGGCTAGATTTTCACAAAAATATTCCCTTAAAACAACTGTCAGATATATTTCCTATTTAAATAACAATAATTTTAATGACTACTTAGGTTTGCTGCTACAGGGAAGGTAATGAATAAAGTGTGTTTTTCAATTAAAGTATAGCCAGCTTTATGAAATAAACAAAATTTCCATATTTGATTAACAAATATCCATAATCAAGCAAACTATAACAGTTTATTAATTTCCCATAGGAATAATATGGGAATTTTTAATTTATAGTATTTTGAATTTTCTCCGTAACCTTTAGACAAACAACAAAGCTTCAATATACTAAATTATTTATTTTTTTAAGCTCTACAAAGTGGTTTGGTATGAAATTGTAAAATTTATTTTTTTAGTATCAAATATGAGAAAACCCAATTTTTACCCCATCAAAACCCCCATACACCAATGTTGCCATAGTTCGATCATGCTGGTTTGCAAATTCCTTTGAATAAATGTAAATTTACACGTTTGTACCAAATTTAATCAAAATTGGATCATTTTTGTTCGAGTTTTCACGCTAATGGACACAAATATATATATATATATATGTGTTGTTATTTGAACAAAGAAAGTTTTTGGCCTCTTGGGAGCTCAAAACCAAAAAGTAAATCATCCAGAAGTTACCATGAGACCTACGGTAATAACTTATTCCCTAAAATGGGAAAATCTCTGAAACATAGTGAATCCTCCCTGTGTTGCTGCTATTATTAGTAAATTGTATTAATTAATTACTGTAATCTAAATTCTAAACAATAGAATGACCACTACGTTTTATATAATTGGTATTAATAATGTAAAAATGGACTGTGAAGATAATTGATTTCTATCATTCTTTTAATATTTAAATCACACTGTTAAAGTTATTTGTACCAAATTCAAAGTCTGGTGTAAAATGTGAGTTGTGTATTATTAAACTAAATAGATAACTAAACTAGTAAACTAGGAACTAGTATATAGACAACTAAACAGAAGATTGGACACAGTTTAAGATTAATAACACAAACATTAATTCACTTTAGCTGGTGATGTAGCCAATAAAACTAAACGTTATCATGTTGCTTGTTTTTGGATCAGCTAATTTTATGAATGGTCTAGTTCATGAACATGGTGAAATTTAGTGCCCTTTTCTGTACTTTTCTCTTCAGTAACCTGGTCTTAGGTACTTGAAACAACTTATCAAATCATAGGACATGAAAGTTAATAACGTAAAGATTTTTGTATTGGTTTCTTTTTGTGTTAATGCCCAATTTTTGTGTGTATTGAATGTATCAAACATAGTAAAGACTGAGCTATTGTAGTAGAAGAAATGTAAAGCCTCTCATATTTAGTTAAAGTAGTCAAGAATGTTTAGTCAATATAAATGCAGACTTTAAATTCATAAATGAGGGTCGTGAAGTTTACTTTTTTAATTCTGTAAAATTTAATCATGCCACTATCAAGTAAATCATCTACACTGAAACTAATCAATTACTAAGCTTATAGTATTTTTGAGTTGTTTAGTATCGAAAGAGAAAAACTAGTAAAGATAAGGTTTAAGTTTTTTTTACAACAAAACCACTAACCACAAACGGTTGCTGGCTGAAAACTGATGAAACACTGATGACTAGAGTTGTACAAATGAAGACACTATGCATAGCATATCCCCCAGGAGAGAAAGCGAGTTTAGCAACTTAGGAACCACAAAACCAACGGTCGATGATCCGAAAATGTTGAAAGGAGTCTTGATTGATTATATAACCTCGGTTTGATTGTAATGATAGCATATCTCAATAATGTGAAAATGTCTTCCTAATGGGCTTATTGTAATGTTATGTCACACATTTTAGATTTTTAGGTTTTTTTTTAAATCTACTGGAAGTTAAATGTCAGTTCTGAAATGTATAATATTTTAAGTAGATTTAGATGGGAATAAATCTTACTATTCATTCCCTCTTGTTACTTTTTATATGAACAAATGTATGAAATGTTAAAACACGCTATTCAAAATAATAATGAAATTTCTTGCCTAAACATTATTTATTTTATCAAGCGGAGCGAGCGATGCTCTTATACGTTGACTCTTGTCCATTTTGTAATACGCAAACTCCCCTTAGACGGCTGAAGCAATCATTTTCAAATTTTGCTTGGTGATAAAGACCATCAGTGAGTGCCAACAAATATGGCGTTGAAAAAAACTCTCAGGAATCCGCCCCACGGGGTCTCAAAGTTTCAATGTAATCCTTATGGAAGCAATATTTGACACATAAACGAAGGAATAAGATCAGCTGTTGACTTTTGAATGCAGTAGATCGATAAATATAGCTGATAGCATTATTCCACAGATATTAGAACAGAAACAGTCTCAATATAATGGATCATAAATATGATCAATTGACGAAACTAGCTTAAATCTTATACTCTGTAAGAAAGGGGATTAACCCCGTACCCACGGTGCTCATCTATGCAGACACTCTGTTCACATTACACTTAGTCGACCAGTTTGTGTGAACAGAGTTGAACAGTAGCATGAGCATCGATTTACAAATTCCTTTCCCAGCTGATGTGAGCTAGGCGATGACCGGTAGGGCTGACTTCCAAGAAACACCGTTAACCTATTAGCCACACACCCTATCGGTAATCAGCCAATGAGAAGGGCTAATGATGAAGATGGAGGGGTGAAGACTCTTGGAGCTGGAGGATCTGAAGGAAAACATCGAGGAGATCACCACGGGCCACCGGAGAAAGAAGATCGGGAGTTTGGGAGTGCGTGTATCGGTGTGTGTGCTTCTGGGACAATTGACAGTATGTAGAAAGAATAAAATATCTAACTAACACTTTGTCAAACATAAAAGTCTTATAATTTGTCAGTAACTAATTCTTTTATATTTTCAATTGATTTTCTTTTCTTGTAAATTTAACGTTGCAAATTAATTTATCTTATTATTGTTGTTTTTTGCATTTTCAAAGTTTTCTTTTGCTGTTGTAACACTTTTAACTTTTGTTGTTTTCGTAATTTAAATTTTTGTTCATTACACGTTGAGTAACACCCTTAAGCAGTCTTATGTCTCATTAACCTAACACCTCTTGACTAAGCTAAGCGAGTGTAACATTTAGGAAACTTAAACTTAAAGTGAGGCATGGGACTCGCATGGTGGAGGCGCCGGGTATGAACTCATAAGGCGCCGGGTATGGGACTCGCAACTCATAGCCTTAACATCTTGTCCGGATGTTTATTGACATTTCCATTTTGATTAATAAAACAAACATGTTTTCTTTCAGTCCATCCAACTAAATTAAAACATTAGCTACCAACTATACTCATCCCTCAGTTACAGTTCCCCCATAAGGTTCCCAAACTCCGCACTGCTCGCCTTTGCTACTTCCATCACCACTTCCTATGTCGTGGACCTGATTCCCACCCTTCCCACCCTTCCTATAGCATATAAGTATTGCAGATACGTTAATCAAACTACCACAAACGGTTCTCACGCTCCGCACTGCTTGCCTTTACTACTTCCTTTACCACTTCCAACGTCGAGGACCTGTTTCCCTCCCTTCCCATAACATTTAAGTATTGCAGATACATTAATCGAACTGCCACAGACGGTTCCCACACTCCGCACTGCTTGCCTTTACTACTTATTTTACCACTTCCAACGTTGTAGACCTGTTTCCCTCCCTTCCCATAGCATTTTTTTAAGTATTGCAGATACATTAATCCAACTGCCACAAATGGTTCCCACACTCTGCGATGCTTGCTATTACTACTTCCTTCACCACTTCCAAAGTCGTTGACCCGTTTTCCTCCCTTCCCATAGCATTAAGGTATTGCAGATACATTAACCTAACTGCCACAAAGGGTTCCCACATTCTGCACAGCTCGCATTTACTACTTCCTTCACCACTTCCTACATCATGGACCTTTTTCTCTCCCTTCCCATATCATTTTAGTACTTCACTCTCCCTTCCCATATCAGTTTAGTATTGCACATACTAGATACACATTAATCTAACTGCCACAGACAATTCCTTCATCGAACGAACCCGTAAAATACTTAATATAGTAAAATAGAAATCTTCCAGTTGTTGAAAACTCGACCAAAAATATGTAATGTACAGACTTCTCTATTTTCACCCTACACTGTAAATAAAACATGTGATTGGAATTTGTTTGGATTTTCTGTTTATATTTTGTCACCAACATAGCAACCAATAATGCCCATATTAATTTTTTTAACATTTCAAATTCATTTTCAAGCTTTTTTTGAGCCTATTTCAATTTATAAAGGGATTCTACACATCTACAGGAAAATATCTTTCATTTGGTACCAACCGCGTGTAATTTGATCCAGCAGTATGGACAGGCTAGCTGTCGTAAGTTTTGCAAAAGTTTTTTAGTATGTAAGATTTTGATGTAAATCGTATATTTTAACATTTCAGATTAGATAATCTCCTACTCTTTGTCCTGAACTAGATAAAAATATATTAAGTAAATAGCTTTGCAATCAACCCTACTACCTTAAGAGGTACAATTTTAATTCTGATGGAAAATTAAAACAAAAGCATTTGAAAAAAAGTGTTATTGTTGGTGTACAGCATTTTATATTAACGCCATAACACAATAGTAAGCCTGTAGTCAGATCATAACCTCTTATTTGTAAAAAAATATAACATATTTTTTGTCTCTAATTTTGATTCAATAACACTGTGTTGAATGATAAAGTCCCTATTCGGGGATTTTATTTTTATTTGAACATGATCATTATGGAAACTTACAAAATTTGTTTCATATGAGTTGTGTTATTGATTTTATAAATTCAATGTCATTAAAACATGATCATTTGATCTTAAAAATCTTTCTATTAAAATGAAAATAATTTTAGTAAAAAAAAAACTAGAATTTTTTTCCAGATAGGTAGTTTTTAACTGTAGGCTACCAGTACAACGATAATCAATTCTCAGATAAAAATATATCCATTTTATATTAATAATTGGAAACATTATAACAACATTAATTACCCTTTTAAATTCATTTTAATTAACAAACTACATGTTTCGACACTTAGGTCATAGTCATGTTTTTATACAAATACAATAACAAATAAAAGGGTACCGGTACCTAATGTTGTTATAATGTTTCCAATTATTAATATAGTAGTAGCCCTAATCACAACCATACTTATTATCCATTTTATAATATATACAGTATATATAATTTTTTCAAACCTTTGATTTATGAGAGAAAATCTATATTCCCACGGATTGAATATGTAATTTAACTAAGTATAAAACTATTGTTTCTATGCTATGCTAAGTTTAAATGAAACCACTTGTCTTGTTTGATTAAATTAAATAAAGAAAATAATACTTAGGAACTTGATGGTCTCTTCATTTCACCTTTCATCCACCTTTTCACCATTTCACCTAAAGACTGTTTTTCTTTTATATTTATTTTTTGTTTTGGAATTTGTAACAGGAAGAATATTTTGGTATTGAAACGTACCAGGACTAATTTTTTAGTCTAGCCTGGAATACTTTAGTCAGCCATTGCCTTGCTTGTTCTTTCTACAGATTGAAGCTAAAATCTATATTCATTTCCAATGACAATATGGTAGACTTTTGTTAAATGAGGTGCAATGTAACCTGATTTTACAATACTTTTGCGCTTCCTTTCTTCATATCAGCGGTATTAAGTTTGGAGGAATAAAAGAGTAGTGTGTAAAAAATCTAAAAATTTACCATCGTTTACTGTGTTTTTTCTGTTAAAACGAAAAGAAAGTATCTGATAATTTTAAGACAACCAAACAAGGGCTTTTTAAATATGATTAACACCTTGGCTGAAAAGACATGAAAACTAACCATATCCATTTCCTCCATAAATCTATTCAAAATTATTGAAATAGTAAACTTAAGATTAAAATTAATTCTCAAGTAAGTGTTTTAAGATTTGACGTTGAACTGCATTCATTAAAATACACTTTCCTTGATTTGATTAGCAACTCTTTAACTCTAAATGTGTTTCTCTGAAAGTGGCTATTTTTGTGTAAAAGTACCTGTAACAGACTTTGATACTTGACAAAAACAGCTTCCTCAATACTAGTAATTTATTTTTTTTTACAGGAATAACAATATAAAATGTACAAATGTTGAGTGGTGATGTCAGTATACATATTGTGTGTTGTTGGCCGGCTGTTGGCTATCAACTCCTTCCTCCTCCTTCTCTCCCTCCACTCCCTCTTCTTTCTCCTCCTCCCCATCCTCCTCTTCCACCTCCACTTCCTCTTCCTCCACCTCCTCTTCCTCCACTTCCTCTTCCCCCACTTCCTCTTCCACCTCCCCATCCTCTTCCCCCTCCTCTTCCTCTTCCCCCTCCTCTTGATTCTCTTCTATCATCTCTCCCCCTTCCTCGCCTATCTCTTCCTTTTTCTCTATCATCTCTCCCCCATCCTCCTCCCCCTCTACCCCTTCGCTCCCTATCTCGACCTCTGTCATCCCAATTATTCTGCCCTCTCTCCTCTCCCCTATCCCAATATCCTTTTCTATCTTCCCCTTTCTCAAATCTTCCTCTTCCCCTTCCTTCTGTTCTATACCTCCCCCTATCATTGTCTCGTTGACTCCACCCTCTTCCTCTGCCTGATCCCCTTCCAGAGCCCCTCCCTCTCCTTTCTCCAACTGGTCTTCCACCGTACTCTTTATCCATATCTTCCAAATACGATTTCACTTCTTTGTAAGCATGGCGTTTCTCACCTTCTGTCGACATTCTATATCTCTGTTTTGGATTTTTGGGATCATAATCCTTTTTGTAATGTTTTTTCTGAGATTTTTTCTTTGGAGAATCTGAGTACTCATTGAAGTCATATTCTGTTTTTGTTCCTCCTCCTTTTCCCCTTAATCTTGAGTCATAATCTAAGCTTTCTCCATTGTAATCATCTTCACCAGTTTTCTTTCCTCTTTGTTTCTTTCCTACATCAGAGGAATCCTCATAAACGTTGTTGTAATTATCATCATAATTAATATTGTCAGTCTCTTTTTTACCTGTTGGAGTTTTTGCCATCATTTCTCGTGTTTTTTTTCTTTTATCTTTTCTTGAAAGTTTTCCCTCCTTTTTTCTCACTTCATCAGCCTTTTCCCTAATATTTTTTCCTGGCCAGGCTCTCATATCTTCAGATGATCTCTCGTAGGAGCTCGACAGTTTTGCAGTTTTTGGTTTTCTTTGTTTGGATTTGCGCTGTGTTCTGTTTTTTAAAAGCACATCAGACCATGCATCATAGTAGGCAGAAGAGGGAAAATCTACTTCTCTCTGTTTTTTGTAAACTTTATCAAGTTCACTCTGTGTTAGATTCCAATGAATTATTTCATCCTTTGGTTCCTCTACAAGTTTCTTAGCTAACTTCTTTACTCTTTCTTCTTTACCCTTGCCTTTATTCTTTTCTATATCTGGTCTAGAAACTTTTGGCAGAATTTGGTCGTGTTTTGTTTCAAAATTTATTTCCTCCTCAGACTTTATTTTTTCACAACTGATTTTATCCATGTTCACTTTATAGATATCAGGTGCTGAGCTCTTGCTGTCTATTTTAAGACTGTCAGGAACAATCGGTTTAAATGTTTGATCAATTATCTGTGATATTTCCCTGTAACCTAGTTTTCTCTTTGTATTTTCTACTGCGGCTTCAACCATTTTTTTGTAGTATTCTCTTGAGAGAACTGTCTCGTTTGACCCTACCTCTGGTCCTTTGATAGATTCTTCCGAGATTTTTATTGGGTTAGTTGTAAATTTGGAAGCCTCTTCAGAGGTGTACATCATATTATCATAGGCTTTCATTTTGGCTGTTCTGTGCTCATCCATTGTTTTCATAACTGGTGTAACTTTCCTTGATAATTTTTTAGGAATAGGAGTTGTATTTTTTCTAATTTTATTTTTGTTCCTACTTTCAGGAGAACGTTCTTCTGAGCTTGGTGATGATGATGAGTGATCTCTACTTTCAATAGAAGATTCCACAGAGCTTTCGGATTTGTTACTCCAAGTAAAAGGAGAATAGTTTTTTTTGAAATCTGTTGAATCCTCATCTCGAAATATTTCAGAGTCCACCGATACAAAAGATGAATCCAGAGATGCTAGATCTTTCACAGTTATGTTATTTGACATGTTCTCCCCACTCCAGAAATATGGCAATTTTGAAAGGTCCTTCTCTGTTTTAGATGTCTTGTGTTTAGCTTTTGTGCCATTTCTATTCACTCCAGATATTGACTCGTCAATCGAACTGTCAAACCTTTCAATTTCCGAATTTGTTATTTCTATTTTCTTCCTGTTCAGCGGATTAGTTCCAGGATAGGTAGGAACCCAAAATTTGTCTTGAGCCCCAGTTTTCCTCTTTCCAGTTTTCTGCTTTCCTCGAATACCAGATTCCTTTGTGTCGCTTGTTTCTTTATCACTGATTTCATCAGAGTCCTAAAAACAAAAAACCCAAGTAAAATTATACTGTTTTTATATTATTTTATTTTTTTAAAAGGATCATTGATTGATAAAAATGTTTATTTTTCTCATGAATTGGATTGGAGGCAAATGTGTAAATACTGCAGTTTAACTGCTCACCCGCTGCAATTTGTAAAAATGAATTATTTAAGTTATAAATTACGGGCATTGCATAAACTGATTTTGGTTTCCTTTAGTAGGTTTTTTTGTAAAAAATATACAAATATTTAACAGACACCACATTATAAAATTACAATGGGTAAATGGTACGCAAGTCTATTTGAAAAGAAACAAATGAAAACTGGACCAATTGATTGGCTCAATAGTTTACAAGTTTAGTATAATGAGTAGTTGAGAGTTAAAATATTTTATTACACGGTACTTACAAATGGTGTTATTTTGAAGCAGTTCTCTTAGTTTAAAACATCACTATTCTACCTTATAACTAAAGTAACACAGATTTAAAATATTTTTAGCTTAGAAATTTTAAATTTTATTAAATCTATAAAAAGTTTAATACAATGAACTTACAGAACCTTTTCCGCTGTTCGAGTAAGCGTAGACAACAGCACAGACAGCGAGCAGCTGTGTTAAGAAGCAAGGTGTCATCTCAACACGGAGCTCATCTTATAAGGCATTGTTATCAGTTAGTGACTCGTTCCAAACAGATATAATTATAAATGAAATGTTCAGTGTTAATGTAGCTGTATTTGTTGAATGATATTTTTATAAGAACATTATTTATTTAACTATGTAGGAGTGTTCAAATGTAATTTTGTATACCTACCAAAAATACAGTAGATATTTGATTTGATTCGATTGGCTCAAGCCTCTTTAGGTAGTGTATCTGTAATTTATGTTGCTGGCTGTAGGGTAAATTCTCAAATTGGCTGCAGTTTACTTTTGCCAAACTCAATTGGGGTTTCCACTTTTTATAAAGCTGTAATACAATGTTTTTAAAACTTGGAACACGTTAATGAAGTTGAGCACTTTAGTGACTTGAAACTCTTGAACTATATTTCTCATCTTATGTACTAAAAAACTTTTGCAAAACTTATGACAGCTAGCCTGGCCATACTACCGGACCAAATTACACACTGTTGGTACCTACCAAATGAAAGATGTTTTCCTGTAGATGTGCATAATCCCTTTATAAATTAGAATAGGCTAAAAATAAACATTTCTCTCATGTGCAGCAAAGTGCCACTTCGCACACTTGTTACACAAATAACTATTGAACGTTTATTCTTTTTGCGTTGTAAACAATGTAATGATGCATTTTTGCAGGTGACAAACAAAGCTGTGTAAATGATTAGTTGAATCGACAACTAAGTGAAAGGAGTATTGCTGCCCAACATGTGGTTCCCCAAATTAGCCTTTTTCATAAAATGTGTGAGTTTGCGAACCATCATGATCGAACTAAGGGAATGGGGCTTTATTGGGTAAAAATAGGTTTTTCTCAACAAAACTTTTCACAACAAAACTTAGTACATTGAAGTGTTTTTGTGCGATTATTAATTGCGGAGAAAATCCAAAGATATGTAAATTTAAAATTCCTATGGAATTCTGTTATTCTTATGGAGAATAAGTAAACTGCTGTAGTTTGGTCATTTATGGATATGTTGATGAAACATGATCAATTTATTTGTTTTATACTAAGCTAGTAATATTTTACTAAAAAACACACTTTATTACCCCCTTTGTAGCAGCAAACCTCGGTACTTGTTTAACCTAATGTCATTTAAATAGATTTAACTGAGAATCAAATCAGGCAAATGGAAATTCGGTTAGTCTGCAGGTTTGCTATGGCGGGGGTATTGGATATAATTTTAACTCAATTTACTTTCACTGAGGTAAGTGGCATTAAATTAGTGTGTTACAATAAGGTATGATATTCATAAAATATTCACAAAATTATACTTATGTTATGTAAAACATAGTGTAATCTAGAGTTATCAGTGGTAGAATCTCCTTATCACCATACAGTAGTCATTATCAGATGGGGCCGTGTCGAGGAAGGTTGTGGTGGCCCGTGGTGGCTCTACTGGCAGCCGCAGCCGTCAGTGTTACCAACGCGCAGGTAACATACTGGTTATAAAGGGAAAAGGGCTACAAAGTCACTAACTACACCAAGTTATTTTAGATGGCCTACAATTTGAAATTGATACAAGTGGTTGCATTTATAAAATATGATTTTAAAAAATTTATAGATTAGTAAATAATATTGAGGCCGATTTGTCAAGATTATTTAAATAAGTAAACAGGTTTTGGGTGATATTTATTATAACTTATAAAACTATATTTAATTTTCTTTTCTCATTAAAATATAATTTCAGTAAATATAGCTTCAAGACCTCTCTAAATTTTGGGAAAAATTGGGATTGAAAACAAACTAAATGGTACTTGCCTACTGGATTGGACCGAGTCATCAAGCTGTGTTTGATTGCCATTGTTTTGGAGACTTTTTAGTTCTCCATTTGCTAGGAAATACTTTACAGTATTAATGAAACAGACTTCATAAACAGAGATGTTAAAATACAAATATAAATAATTCCGACTTTGCTCTGGATATAAGTCCTGCAGTCTGTGATTAACCAAAGTATTTCTAACCATGTCCATATATTTAGTTGTAAACAAAGTAAATTAAGTTTGATCCAATGACGACGGATAGCACCAATGTTCCAAAACTTTAGCCCTTAACTATACTTAAGTGATGCCCTTTCTTAATATTCTGAGACGTATTTGCACATCTACGTAAGAACACCTTAAATTTGACAGATCAAACGTTAAAATCCGTCCAGCCGTTATCGAGTTATGACTGTGAAAAGAAAACTGTTTGCGTATTAATATATAGATTAGATGAAGTAAAATGCCAAATATCCAAATGCCAATCGCATACATGTGCCATTTGATAAAAATCTAGTTTAGTCTGTATTAAAATATTATAACAAAGAAATCTGTAGTGAGTACAAGTGATGGAGACTCGTGTGTTTTATCTCGTGACCTGTGTTGCGAAAGTCATGACAAAAAAGGAATGTAAAGTAATTTATATGGCAATATAAGTTCATTGAGCTCCAAATAATGTCCCACACACTATTTATCACAACATTTTTACTGTAATATTATCACAATTCTTTCATAACTCTTTAACAACTTTTTCAATTACAGCTTTCTCTACAATTTTGTTAAAAGTAGTCAGTATTTATAGTTAGCTCCATTGCATTTCAATCGAAAGTGCTATTATATTGTTTTTTTTCTTGAAGCAGCGGATTGTCAATCTTATTTTGCACAGCATTTTGCTGGAATACATCTTTTTTACTACGTAGGAAAGATAATCTATATACTGATTTGTTTCCCAATTGCTGATTTTAAAGCAAGTTATTTTTTTCAGGTTAATGCAGTCAACAGTCTGAATAAAGCACAAAATGGGAGAGAAAGCTCAAAGCTGTCTCCTCTTGGACATCACCAGTTGCATGATGACCCTAATGTGAGTGTTCATTTACTTTTTATATTCAGCTGTTGATGTTTACAGTATTGATGCTACTTAAACTGTTTTATTTTCAAAGATAAACAGTAAATTTACTGGATTGTTAGTTTTTTTTTTAATAAAATAATAGATAAAAAACATACTACCTTAGTAGATTTCTCAACCTCGTGGAACAGCTGAAGGAAATTTTATTGTTAGTTCTGTCCGATGCACTCTAGGGGTCGTGTTTTGTTTGCAATTTTTTCTTGTTTTTTTAGTCATTTAAAACCTTGTTTAACCAAATAAAACAATATAATCATGAACATAACTCATGCTCTATTTATATAACCAAACTGTAAAGCACGAATCATGAAATTAGCCTTAAAATAATTGAAACAAAATTTTGTTGACACTAGCGATCAGTGTCACTGGACAAAAACAGAGCCAAAATTTACAATGGGATGAGAAGTCTACTCGTGTTGGTTAGTCTATGGTAAAATACACTAAAATCTTTCAAAATGTCGACTTTGTAACGTTTGGTTTTAAATAAAAACATCTCAAAAAAGTGTCTATAAACTTGATAAGTTTAGTGATTAGCAGTTCAAGAATAAAATTCATAGTAGTTAAAAGGAGAAGCAAAGTTTAATGGTAGATGAAAAAATTCTTCAACAATGGACAACTCCATAGCTACTTTGGAATCAATTACAAAACTTCAGCAAAGTAAATTACTATAATAAAACATTCTTTTTAGTCGCTCCATTTGAAATGTTTCTACTTATAATTCTTCCAAAGCTCATACTAAACTAGTATTTCTCTGATCTTCATTTAGTGTGTGTATCAGATTTTGCTCCTAAAATACTTTATAGGCCTAATAAATGGTTTGTAAAGTTTAGTTTAAAATCTTCTGTTTTTATAAAATTTGTATTTTATGAAAGTTTATATTTTTGTATGTTTGTATGGAAATCAAATTGCTTTAAAAAACTACAAACATTAAATCTGTGTTTACAGCATCTCGTTGAAAATGACAAAACCAGGCTGAACCAAAAGGAAGAAGTAAGTAAAGTAAATTTCTTACAATGAGCTCATGTGTCTTGTATGGTACTTATCAATTGATTTTGGATAATCTTAATTTGATTAAATGAGCATAAATGGCTTTTTGATCAGCATTGTTTAGGCCTATGTTATTAAATCTACAGAATGTAAATATCTAACACAACTACTTTAAAATTATCAGACAATTGAAATAACATAAACTTACATTTTTTATAGTAAACAAAGCTTGTAAATGTTAATTAGAGGTATCAAGCCACTCCTCTAAGATTCATAAATAGCTAGTCTTGCAACAGTGAATAACAAAGCAAACAAAATTGCCTTTATTTTCTTTCTTGCTCTTGTGTTTCTTTTTGTTTTTTTTTTTGTGATCGCTGTTGCAGTAAAATTTATTGTAGGATTTATTTTTTATACTTATAAACAGTTGTTTATTGCTCAACAACAATTATTTGAATTAAAATCTGTTGTTAGTGAATTTCCCATAAATAGAGAATAAGCTATCACCGTAGGTCTCATGGTAAGACCTGAACCCGGAACCAATCTACTTTTTTGTGTCTTTGTCTTCGGAGGCCAAAAACACCATCCGTTCAAATTCATATAAATAATTATATGTGTGTGTGTGTGTATGTTCGTTAGCACTATAACTCAGGTAATAATGATCCGATTTCAATGAAATTCATTACAAGCTTTTAAACCTACAAGCTCGCAAACCAGAATGATTGTACAATGAAAACGGGGTTTTATGGGGTAAAAATTGGTTTTACTCATTTATGGTCCTCAAAACATAGAATTTATCAATTTATCTCCAATCCATTTTTTAGAGAAGAAAACCCAAATTATTTGGTATGTTCAGGTATGTTGATCCAATTGAAAGTTATGGGGTAATTAAAAAAAATTTGTAAATCTAAAATTCCCATGTAATTCTTATGGACAGTAAGTAAACGTTTATTTTCTAGAGTTGTTAGCCTCTGGATTACAATTCAATATTTATAATGATTTAAGTACCTGCATTTAGTAATCCATAATGCTGCTTGTGGCAACATAGTTTCGGTTCAGCTAGGAACCATCATCAGGCCGTACAATTAAAATGTCATTATTTGCCCCCGTATATGAAGGTTGTCATTAATAATAAAAGTACATAAAACACACACGAACACGCACATTCATAGATGAACATTTAACATTTAAAAACAACCGAGTACTCATGGACACGAGACAGGTGACGCGACCGGGCGGAAGTTGTGATCAATGTGCGTGTTCGTGTGTGTTTTAGTTACTTTTATTATCAATGACGACCTTCATATACGGAGGTAAATAACGACACCTTGTACAGCCTGAAGATGGTTCCTAGCTGAACCGATCCTATAGTTGCCACAAGCAGCAGTTTGGATTACTGAATGCAGGTACTTAAACCATTATAAGTAGGTAAACTGTTGTAGTTGGCACGTATAAGGATTTAGATCAAATTCGGCAAGTTGTTTTATTTCATTCTGAGCTATTAACACTTCACTAAAACACCCCTTTTTACCTTCCCTCTAGCAGCAAACCTAAACCTAATGTTACTTAAAACGGGGAATAAATCTGATATGTTTAAGGAAATATTTAAGTGAAAATCCAATGAGGATGGAAATTGCCTAAGTCTCAGGTTTGTTGTGGCGGGAGTATAATTTTGATATTCGTTTCAGAATCCTCATGTCATCAATGCTGGCCACCAGCCTTTGACCTTTGTAAAACATGCTCATAAGAGAAGGGTAATCTCTAAAAGGGTAAGTAAATTTATTCTTTGAATTTTATCTTAGGTACTTTGTTATGAAGGGCTTCTTCTAATGGGTGAGGTTCATTTGTCCGAGTTTTCAACTGTCCGAGTTTCTTAAAAATTACAAAATATTTGAAAAATCATTTGTCCGAGTTTTCAACTGTCCGAGTATGGTTTAAATAATAATAATATTTCGTTAAATCAACTGTCCGAGTTTTCATTTGTCCGAGTTTTTAAATTATTTAAAGAAATATCAAAATATCATTTGTCCGAGTTTTCAACTGTCCGAGTAGGGGCAACATCAAAATGTGACACTGCGCGCCGAGACTAGCGTGTCTAAAGCGCCTGTTCAGAAGTCGATGTGAACCCCTTCTGTGAAGGAGTCGGGCATTGTGCGAGCCGCAAGAGCCCCGAGCCGCAAGAGCCCCTCACGTCGAATTAAGAAAAATTATTTTATTTTTATATAAGACTAATTTTACAATTTTTAATTATAAAATCAAACTGTCATCACCAAACACAACCAACCAAACTTGCTGATAATATAATAATTGCGGGGGTATTTTATATTATCAGCAAGTTTGGTTGGTTGTGTTAGGTGATGAGAGTTTAATTTTATAATTAAAAATTGTAAAATTAGTCTTATATAAAAATAAAATAATTTTTCTTAATTCGACGTGAGGGGCTCTCGCGGCTCGCACAATGCCCGACTCCTTCACAGAAGGGGTTCACATCGACTTCTGAACAGGCGCTTTAGACACGCTAGTCTCGGCGCGCAGTGTCACATTTTGATGTTGCCCCTACTCGGACAGTTGAAAACTCGGACAAATGATATTTTGATATTTCTTTAAATAATTTAAAAACTCGGACAAATGAAAACTCAGACAGTTGATTTATCTAATTATTATTAGTTATTTATCAAAACTCGGACAGTTGAAAACTCGGACAAATGATTTTTCAAATATTTTGTAATTTTTAACAAACTCGGACAGTTGAAAACTCGGACAAATGATGTGATCCCCTTCTAATCTTATTAAAATATCAGGTAATTTTCTTTTAGAGAAATTTAAACCATTTTCAGCTTCAAAATTATGTTTTTTAATGAACAAACTGATTAAAACTGTCTAAAAATTAATGGTACATCTCAAAACTTAAGTATTCACACCAAAAAATATAAACATACAATTACATTTTTAAGGTTTTCAAAGAATTTCTCTGTTCTGTTAAGTGTTTTCTACATAAAAACAAGAGTAAATTTTTTACTAATATCTTGATAAAAAAAACTATGGTAAAAATCAAGTGAAATTTGGTATTTACTTTGAAGTTTTCAACATTAGTAAAAATTGCAGAAATACAATAACACCACAATAACAAGACCCTTGATAACAAGCCATCCTTAAAAAATGTAATTTTCAAAAATACCTGTTCAAAATTAATAGTTAAAATTATTTTGCTAATAAAACTCATGTTCTTTTCATTACATTTATTTTTAAACCAATAAACCAGCTGATCAATATTAATATTAAATTATACCAAATCATTGTTCCAATGCATATTAAATCTTCATTCAGCCCACTATAACACACTATAATAAAAAAACTATTTAACATTTCTCCCAGGGGGGTTTCTCAGGTTACTTTTGTACCAGTTTGGTTACAGGTCTCCTCCAGACTCCGGTGGCTGTTCGAACGTCCGCTACTCTAACTTGGCCATCTTGCCACCTCCACTATCCCCTTAGTGAAATGTCCTGGGGCTTGGTTTTCATCAGTTATCATCTTGCCAGATATTGCCAGTACAAATGTAGCCTCAACTTGATCTCCTTTTTCCACTCTGACGTAGGCCACTGAACAAAATCCTTTTTCACTCGCATCACAAAATATATGCAGCTGCAAGGAGCAGTTTGAAGTTAGGTTGTAGCAACGTTGTATTTTCAAGTTTTCTGACTCTTTCATATCTTTCATCCAGTTTTCCCACAACTTCTCTAATTCGGCTGGTATTACTTCATCCCATTGAATGTTTAACTTCCACAGGTTTTTTTACAAGGATTTTTCCTTTCATCGTAATTGGAGTAATGAATCCCAATGGATCGTAAATAGACATCACAGCCTGCAGAACCTGTCGCTTCGTTGGTGACTCCTTTAATTGTACAATTTCATTCTTTACTTTAAATGAAGTTCACTTTAAAGACAAGGACATCTTCATGAAAGTTCCAGTGCAGTCCGAGAACTCGTTCTGTATCTTCGGCTGTTAGTCCCACTTCTTCATTTGAGCAATTGCTTGACCATTTTGACTTGGGCAGTGAACTAATTAGTACCTCTGAATTACTGATGACGTTCCTCAAGTTGAATCCTCCTTTCTGGCAGATATTTACTACATCTTTTACCAAAGTTTCTGCTTCGTCAATAGTTTCTCTGCTGTCCAGATAGTCATCCATGTAAAACTGTTCTTGTATAGCATGCAAAGCTTCTTGGTTTTCTTTTCCATATTTTTCTGCATTTTTCCTCATGACATAGATGGCACTAGTAGGTGAGCACATCGCTCCAAAAATCATAGATGTCATACACCATTCTTCAAGGTTTCTATTTTCTCCTCTCCAGAGAAAGCGTAGTGTATCTTGATCTTCTGCGATTATTTTTATTCTCAGAAACATTTCTTCTATGTCTGCTGCAAACGCAATCTTGTGTTTTCTAAATTGAAACAGAATACCAATCAAACTGTTAAACAAGTTTGGCCCAGGAAGTAGATAACTGTTCAAGCTTTGGCCGTGAGATTTCGAAGCCGCGTCGAACACAAACCGGAACTTGTCTGGTTTCCTTGGGTTGATCACCGAAAAGTGAGGGAGATACCATGTCTTCTCACTTCTGTTGTTAGCTTTTTCTGGGCTCAGCTTCTCTGCGTAGTCCTTTTCAGCGTAGCTTAATATCTGTTTATGATATTTTTCGCTAAGTTTTGGATTTTCTTTCATTTTTTCATCGACATAGTTTAATCTTTGCCAAGCAACAGACCGACTTTCAGGTAAGTGAGGATTGTCTTTTTTCCAAAGCAAACCAACTTGCCAACATCCATCTTCTTTCTGAGAACATGTATTTTCCAAAATTGTTTCTGCTCTCACTTCCTCTTCAGTCTTCTTACAGTTGTAATCTGAGCAATCAAAAAAGTCTGTATCGAAACTTCTTTTGACTATCGAATTAAGCTCTTCCATCTCTGAGCTTATCTCGCTTTTAAACATCACAAATTCCTTATTGACTCGAGTTTGGTAAATGTTTTTTCCAGTGGGGCCGTTAATTGTCCATCCCAACTTTGACTTCAGTGCAATAGGTGCATTGGCAGGCCCGATCACAAGTCTTGGCCGACCACGTCTGAATACTTCCTCTGGGATGTCTTGTAGATGCGACCGTTTTCTTTTCATTTTCACCATGCTAATTGATTGTGTTGGTAGCTGCAACTCTCTCAATGTCCTCACATTGTCCAGTAATAACTCTTCTCCTGTTTCTCCAAGAACTGTCACTGATATGGTTTGAGACTGCTCTTCAGTGTAAACAGACCCATCTGTCCATGAAAACGATATAGGTTTTTCAGGACCTTCAATTCCAAGTTCTTCCGCCAAATCTTTTTCAATTATGGAAACTGTAGAACCATCATCAATAAGTGCATACGTGTCAACTTTCACTCCATTTCTCCCCACCAAAGTCACAGAGAGAACTCTTAAGAGAACCCTTGCTATCGTTTCCTCTTGGTACCCTACGTGCTCTGTTTGTACTTCAGTTGGTTCAGGATTTTTTGTGTTCTCATCTTCTTTCTTTGTGAGACAGTGCAACAGTTTGTGGTGAGAGTAGGTACAACCGTTCACTCCACAGGCAACCCTTTTACGGCACTTTGCTGCTTGGTGCTTTGTTTTCAGGCAATTGAAACACACACCGCAACTCTTGACTGTGTCCCATCTCTTGTTCACATCATATTCTAAGAACTGCTTGCAGTCTTCCAAACAATGTTCTTTTTTCTTACACCAAAGACACATCCGCTTTCCAGATCTTTTGTCACTTTCTTCTTGGATAAGCACGTAGTTTCTTTGGTTTGAATTCCCACTTGTTGCACTTTTGTAGTTCCCAGGTAAAGATGATGTACTAGGAGCACATATAGTTGCTGCATCTGCCATAGAAGAAAGCCACGTTGAAAAGGTGTCCAGGCCGACAGGATGATATTTATTGATATGATGATTTATTTGAGACTGTGGTGATGTGACGTGCATTCCCCAATTAAGTTTCATGTTGGTGGATAGCTTATCAGTCAATTCTTCCATCAGTTGGGGGTTGAACAGATAGTGATCTTGCTTCAAGGACTTCACTGTCACCACTAAGTTTCGCACCATGTCGCTGAAAGTCACCAAAGTGTCAGGCTTGTAATCTTTTGTGGGTGGGCGACTTCTCACACTTGCAATTAAGTTCTTAATTATGATTTCTGGTCTTCCGAAACGTTTTTCCAACAAATTTATAATTTCTTCAACGTTTTCGGGATATATCAATAGGGCTGAAATCATTTCCTTTGCTTTTCCGGACAGGGACTTCTGTAGTCTCTGAAGATTCTCTAGGTCCGTGTAATCATTCAATTCAGTCGAACGATTGTACTCAGCTATCCAAGCGGGCCATTGGTCAAGATCTCCGCTGAAGCTTGGAAGAGCAGATAAAATCCTAGCAGACATCTTATCTCTAAACAATTTTTCTTTGTTAGTTAAACATCCATTATTTACCACTGCATTTCTATTTGATTCAAACTGATTGTCATTTAGATAACTTTGAGATTTAGGTTGCACATCTTGAGGGGAACACAAAACATCTCGAAGAATATGCTTCCTATCTTTTCCATTTAGCTCCAGTGTTTCAGTCTTTGCATCTCGAGGACCAGCACAATGTTCTTCTCGAGGCGAAAAACTAGACTGAAAATCCTGTCGCTGTATGAAATCTTCCTTCTTCAAAGTCTTCATCTCGTTCATGCCACAAGGCTCCAAACCAAATTTCTGATCAGATTTGTCAGTTTCCTTCACCTGCTTCCACTGTTCGACAGCATCCTTAGTCGATATTGGCTCTTGTAGAAGTGAATCAAGCGTCCGTGATGACTTACTGCTATCTCTAGACGATCCCTTACTAAGAAGTGAAAGACGACCTTCGAGTAACCTCTTCTTGACTTCTATTTCTTTCAGCTTGGCCTCTTCTTGCACTTGAGCCAGTCTTCTGTCAGCCTCAGCCTTAGCCTTTTCAGCTAAAGCATTTGCTTGTGCAGAAGAAATTATTACAGCTGTCTCCTCTTCCTGTATCTTTATAAGCTCATCTACAACTTCTGTAACACTTCTATGTCTACTTTGACTCAAACTAGTTTTGTGAGATTTTGTTGTGTTAGGAACTGACTTACCACTTAATTTATCTTCACCATCTTGTTGTCTTACAAGTGACATTTTGGCTTTGGACCTTGTAACAATTCCTTTATTTGACATTTAGTTGATTCCCGGGTTTTCGGCACCAATGTTCAAAATTAATAGGTAGTTAAAATTATTTTGCTAATAAAACTCATGTTCTTTTCATTACATTTATTTTTAAACCAATAAACCAGCTGATCAATATTAATATTAAACGAGGTGTTAGCCCGTCCTACGTACGGGAATTCTGTAGTCAATTAAAACCGTGTACAATTCAGATCAGCTAGTTTACACATATAAAGACAAAGTTTCTTGCAGTTTTGATGTGAAAAATCATCTTGTAAACAAATGTTGTATGACCAAATATGTTTTAATTCCATCATAGGCCTATACGAAATGCATTTTAAATCCGATAATTTTACAATAAAACCAGCAATTCTGCAATTTTCACGATGTGAAAAGCGTTGAAGTGCTATTTGCAGCCGAATCGCACAGACGCACACTGATTATAAGTAGCCTACAGTAGAGAGAGTAATAGTCAATTGAGAAGTGTATAGACCTAGTCAACGATACCACCTTCCATAGCATACCTGCCTCTTCCATAATTATTATCACCACAATACAACTACTATACACAATTTCCAGTAGGTCTGAATAGAAACGACCTAAAACAAAATGATAATATCCAATAAAATTCACAGTACACAAACTTTGGTGTCCTAACATCAAAACTAATCGTCACACCTATCCTTTATACGAATTTCACTGCATTAATTGCTAAATAAATATGCGTAAACAAAGAAAAGTAAAAACAATAACAGTTTGTTTTGAAACAGCTGTTTGGTTCAAATAATCTTCATTTGAAAAAAAGAACTGGTCACATGTAGCAGGAATAAAAAAAGTAAACACGCTAGTAAAGCTAATGACGTAATTGTCAATGTTTATTATCCATACCGTTATCAGTTCCATCCTTGATATAATTACCCACCCTCATTGAATAAATGCACATCGTAATTTCCCATATTAGTTAATTTAAACTACAATATATTCATAGTTGAAATAAAAGTGATATTTTCACGTTTGGGGGCGCTGATATAGGCGCCCCCAAACGTAACCTCAACTGAGCACGATTTCATAAAAGGATGGTTTGTCTAATTGCAGTATCTTAGGTCAATGTTGATGCTGTGTTCAATCTATGCCATCCATCTGTTTATCTTTGTATAAAACCCGGCTGAGGTTGTGGTGGTAATTTAAAATCGTGATTCCTGATTATTCTTGATCTTCTTTTTATGACATCAATATTTCCGGGCCTAATCCAAACAAAAGCAGACAAACATTAATTGTAAACAAAAAGCTACTATGAAGAATTAAAACATATAAACATTGTTATTTTTCTAATCTTTCCTTGAAAAGTGGAGCAGTAAAATAATTTGCATTTATCCTTTTTTATTAAGACTCGTGTACAGAGCCTCGATTTGTACTGTGGTTTAATTAATTTTGGTTAAAACTGTGGTCTAATTATCTCTACTAGTCTTACTTATTTCCTATAATCAATGACAAAATAAGAGTAAATAAAATAGCCTCATAGTTCCATAGTTTATATTTAACCAGCTGTTAGTTAAAACAAATTATATTGCTCTAAAACAAATCGAAGATTACAAAGATTGCTTTAAAAAATAATTTGAACATCCTAGTATGTTACTATGTATATTTAATTAATCTGTCATCCTCTTATAGAAGAATTGAATGTATCAATGATTATCATTACACATAGTATAAATAAGTCAACCCTAAGTATGTCTTTACATTTTTATCCAAATGCTGAATTTGTCACACAAAAGCTGAATGTTTAAAGCTGTTATGTTAAGCAAATTATTTTATGCCAAAAGCTAGTTTAGAACCTTAGTATCGGCTGCTATAGACTTTTTAAAAATTAAAACTTAATTTCTAAAAAACTGGGACCCTAAACTAAAATTATGGCTTCGACATTCTTTAGTTCTCAAAATTATCTTTCTTTCAACACAAAAATCATGAAAATCCGTCGAGTGGTTGATTCAGCATCGTGAAATAAAAAAACACTGTTTCGTTTTAATATTATAGATTATACCAAATCATTGTTCCAATGCATATTAAATCTTCATTCAGCCCACTATAACACACTATAATAAAAAAACTATTTAACAATACCTTTAATAAATCTATAATCACATGTTATTGCGAGCCTTGATAAGAAGTCAACCTTTATCATAAGAATAAGTCCTGATCTCCTAACATAAACAGTTCCACCATGCTGTAGCTTTTGTAGGGGTAACTTACTGGCTAAATCTTAGGTTTTTTATATATTTAGAATTCCTTATTTATTAGAAACCTTGACAATGTACCTGTCTGTGTATTACATTTGTAATAACTTTAACAGATGTTATGTGCAACAAAGAATTGTCATTTGTCATTTGTCAAGTCTCATTTGATGATTCCTATGAGAGACGTGGTATTGAGGTCTTGCTCTAACAATGAATAATAAATGAATAATATAGGCTAATTCGTTATATATTTTTTATCCTGATGAGAGACAATGTTTTGCATGACATGGCAGAGTTTTGGACCCAGCTATGTTCCTGATCATTGGGCTTTAAATAAACTAATGTTCTGCCCGTTGTGTCACTTAATGTGCACAACATTTGTCTGCAACATAAATTGCTGTGTTTTTAAGTTATATAATACTGAACTAATAAGTAAACAATTGAAACAGAATTCAAAGGTTTGAACACCATCTCATATTATAAGAAAAACTAATACTCTGCACGAGTGAGTACTACGACTATCTGCAGTACTATCCTCATAATTACTAATTAGACCAATTAGTATACACCAAGGCAAAAATGTGGTTCGGATTCCACTATAAACTGTAGGTCCCTTAGTTGTCATTAGCTGTATGGGCTATTAATTAACAGCTGTGTCTAAGGAATGTCGGCCTTAGTCACTAACAAGACTACAAGATTGCGCCACTCATCCTACACTTATCTCCATTCATACTTGGCTTAAAATACCTACTTTGTATGGACGCCATTTAATAAGAAAGTACTTACTGTCACTTATTCTTTTGATGCAATATAGAAATCTATGGAAGAATCAAAAGGTTAAGTCAAGGAAAAGTAAACAGCCAAACTAAAACAAATCGAATACAACAGCTGATGTATCTTCAATATTTAAAATGTGATAAAATGCATCCCTTTAATTGAGGTTTCTGTCCTTATGGGAGGGTTTATCGAAAAACTGATATTTTCGGGGAAGTTTCACATCAAGACCTTTCATTTAAGTATGCGATTGATAGGTGTTCAGCTTATAGTTTTATCCTAGTTTTAAATATAGATGATCTTGACTAATAACACACAGCTGATCGTAATCAGTAACAAAGCTACACAGATCATCTCACTGCATTATCCTTCCCATATTTAGGTTAAAATACACACCTTGGTGGCGTCCCCATCTCAATTGATAATGATAATTGCAAAACGTTCTTTGAGGATGTATATGTTTCTTACCCATTGCAGTACAACAGTGGTTTATTTCTAATTATCTTTACAACACATTACATTTTGTAACTATAAATCATTTCGTTGGTAAGATAGATACAGGTGTAGTAAAAAAACTTGGTTCAAAATGTATTATGTTTGATGTACTAATCTGTGTAGGAAGCGAAAAAACCAAAGAACACAAAGAGAAGAGTGAAGTTCAACAAGAAGGAGTTTGAAAAGAAGCTTCAACAGCAGGAAAAGGAAGAAAAAGAATCTGGTGTGGCTAAAGATGAATCAACAGTGGATACGTCAGAAGTTCTGTCTTCCTCAAATTCTTTGATTCCAGAGGTAAGTTTATACATCGATGCCTTTTATGATAATATCTTGATTTTGATACCAAGATTACAATTCATTTAGGAGGAATAACCTTTATTTTTAATTGTGTTTCGATGCTATTTGCATTTTTAAAGTTTTTTTTGGGAACGGTCCAAACCCTGGTCTTATGTCAACCTTTTGTTAGATAGTAACTCTGTTATGTAGATTCTATCACGGAAGGCCACATTTTATTTTTTAATAATTTTAAATAAGAAGGTTGTGTTGTATATTCAATTTACTACAATATACAGCAATCCAATTAAAGAGTTAATTATAAGCACATTGTAGTAAATACACTTTCCTTAATCTTAAGAATCGTTTGGAGTTCTCTATGCTGAATAAGACAGTAGATATGAAGGAAACTGAACATATGAATACAAATTAACTGCTTATAGTAGTCCACAGATTACACTACATAGTTTTTCCTGATAATTAGTTTTCAGTATTAAAGTAGAGCCATCCTCTGGCTAAAAATGTTTTTTTTACCCCTGTATGGATATATTTTGAAAATAATATCCATGTTTTGATCTCGTGTGATGTCGCTGTCCCTTGTTCACGGGTTTATCGGCTAACTTTGCCTAGCAGTTGAGTTTCAATGTTAAGTGAGTTGAACAGCTGGTAGCAGTTACAGGGTAACTCGTGTTTACAGTTCTCAGATCTCTACATGCCCTGGAATCTCCCTCCGCGACCGACCAAGTCCAGGATGCCGAAAAAGGTGAGTTTATCAATACAAAACTAATAATTTTATTTTATAAGGCTTAACGGTTTTAGTGATGACATACTTGATTGGTTTTTATAACAAAGGAGACATTCTGCTTCATCAATTAACTTCCTCTATGTCCTTTGACTCTTGTGTGTCTTCTACTTCGGCTTTGTCTCATGCCTTCAGCTGCTTCATCTTCCATAGTGGCAGCATCTTGTGTAACTTACCATAAAAATCTGATTATGCTATCTGGAAGTCTAGCTGAAGTAGCGTAACTTTTCCAGGCTACTTTATACCTTCTTAATAGAGCACTACCGATAATTAATTGGATAATTAGATGTTTAAAACTATTATTGTACATCAATCATGTATCATTGGCAGAAAAAGACTATGTTTGAATTGGGGAATGTGCTGGAATTTGTATTTGGAATTTTGGAAGGTGTACATAATTTGTAGATTATTAGATCATTTTATTTCTTCGTTAACTGTAAACATCTTTGACCTACTGGTTAGTCAAAGGAGATTTCAAGGTAAAATTTTGAATTTTTAGGATAACGGAAGTTATTTTAATTTTAGTTCCTCACCTGATTTCAGAAAAATAATACAAAACTCATGTTTAGACTGTCAGAGCAAAACTTTTGACCGGTGATTTTATTAACCTCAAAACTATGTAACTAAACCAAGTGTTTGTATCTTACTTAATTAGGTCATTATGACACTGAGGCACACATCGCTAGAGTCGTATTAAATCATTAAATCATATAGACTAAAATAAAATAATAACTTTAAAGCTGTGATTTTACTAACAACTTACCAATCAAGTTTATGTTTAAATTTCTGTTATCAAAGTAAATTAAGGTGAATATGTATCGTCAGTTTAATTCATTTTTACTTTTTCAGTCGGAAGCCAAGTCTCACCCCTCTGAAATTTCAACTTGTGAAGACCCGACGGAAGAAATGTATGACCCGCCAAAACGATACGAAAAAGAAGTCATCTTTGAAGACTGATTTCTACTTAACAAAATATTTTGATACGTTTAATAACATAAGTTTTTAATTACAGTTTTTGTACTATTGCATCTGTGAAATAAAACTATGAAATACATGGTCTGTCCTTATTTTTGCAACTTATTTACTTACGATTTTTATTGACATTTTAATCCTCTACAATAGGATTGTAGTACTTTATGTTGATTGTATTTCAACATGACTTGTTTTACTTACCTGTTTGCTTATCAATTGTGTGTTAAATAATAAAGGTATTTCTTTGTTTGAAGTTCATTGTTGGTGATGGTGAGTTAATGTTGTTCAAAGGTTTATTGCGGATATTTTCCATCACGAATGTAAAACGTGTTTGTGTATTGTTTTTTACATTCGTGATGGAAAATGTCCGCAATAAACCTTTGAACAAAATAAAGGTATTGATGCAAAATTTTTAAAATTCCTGAAAAACCAATCAAATATATTGTATTTCAGGAATAAAAAATATTCACAAATAAAAAAAAATAATTATTTGCATAAAAATTGTGGGTCCATTACAACTGACTATTGGTAATTTATCGTTATTGTTAAGCCAGGTCCACATTAATGTTTTCTACAAATTTTATTATTTATTTACTTGATGTAATTCTTAACATTTGAACTTTTACATTACTGAGAACTAACTACATTTACATGGATTAGCTTTTGATAATATGAGACAAGATTTGAATATTTCTAAGATATTTCACCAAGTTTGATCTTTTACAGTCTGGAAAGGAACAAGGAGGGTCTTCATCTACTTATGAGTCATACTCTGAATCTTCAGATTCAGTAAGTACTCAAATCATAAAAGTAATCAATTAATTAGTACTATACCCAGTAGTATGTGTTTAAAACTGTATTTTCCAGCCGCTCAATATATTGATATGAAGTATTATTTTAACTAAAGTAACTGAAGCTATACAATTATACTATATAATTATAGCCCCACCGCAGCAAACCTGCAGACTTAGCGAATTTCCATTTGCCTGATTGGATTTATACTAAAATGTCTCCTTAAAAATATCACATTTATTCCCTACTAGCTGTGTGCCCGTTCTACGCACGGGGATCTTATAGTAGTCAGTTGAAACCTTTTTATATTAAGATTAAGAACAGCAGTTAGTTTGCATATTTGCAGATATGCTGGCAAAACTATTATATATAAACCTTCGCAAATACAGTATCTGACAGTTCAAGCCAAAATAAATGCTTCGCAATTAAATGTCACCCGGATCGTTATGGTCCATATGTCCAATGATTAAACTAAAAAATGTTTTATAGATCCATGAAGCGTAGCCCTAAAGTAGGCCTATAATTGAAAGTTACTTTCCACATCGGTTAACTTAAACGTATTTAAAGTACTACCTCAACCTCACCATTTAACACTTTATTCCGGTTGACATTTTCAGTATCAAAGGTGCTCTTGTCCATTCCGTGAAACACTGAGAAATAAGGACATTAATGCGTTACCAACAGACATACACACAACAATCCAAAAAAGGCCACGAACTATTAATACATAAACAATATAAAGGCGTAAACAATTCATGATGGTTTGCCCAACAAATGTTTTACTCAAATAGGTTATCATTTTCTTAGCATACCGGGTAAGCTAAGATTTGGAATCCAGACAGAAAAAGCAAAACTTATACAGAGTTAAGACATCACTTAAATTGAATACGGACGGCTCTAATAAATAAGGTGCAACACCAACGATAACTAATTTGTAACGGTTCTAAGGAAAAGAACCGTACTGGCTTACGTAGGTACTACGTAAGAACCTACCTAAGAACTATAGTACATCCGACCAATTAAATACATTAATATCTAGTCCCGAGGTTATTGATCTCTTGCTTTTGGATTTTCTCGTAAAAAGTTATAGCGTAAACTTATCGGTGTCAGTTTGAAAAAAAAAACAACCTTACCCAAACAACTTTTTGTTATTTAATAGATAACGCATTCTCTAAACAATGATTAGTATATCTATTAACATTAGAAGGAAATGTGACGAAAATCACACAATGTTGGGGTTTTGGTCATTTGTAATTATATTTCTTAAGTAGGTAGGCCATGTATTCTATGGAAAAGTACCGGTATCAAGGATCGTCGTCAAAAAGGTTGTTATGAATAAATATGTAGGCTTACGTACCCAAGATATGAGCTATGGGCCTATTGGCTGTATGGTCCAGCGATTGCATCACACGGTGAGTAGTAACAGAAAGTGACACATTGGAAAAGCGAGTTTAGCACTTCCTCTGTTAAACCTCTGTTACAATCACCCACTGCAGTTGTGATATTTTACTTTACACTTTACACAACCGCCATTGAAGCGCCGTCAATGAGTGGAAACCTTTTTTGTAAGCTATTGGCGACGATCATTTCAGTGTCCCAGCCCTATACAACACTGATTCAAGGTCTTCTTTCTGGTTGTCAAAACTCAAGAAACATTTTATACTCAAAGAATTTCAGGTTCCGATTTGGACGATGTCTAGTTATTTAATTTCATTTACGGTTACACTATTAGACTATATTATTGCACTTGCGATTAATTAAATCCGTTATGTAAGAAAAACGTTTTTAATCTCACTTGGTTGGGATTTGCTTTCAAAACGTGATTCGAAATGGTTGCGGTATTTGTAAACAACATTTGTAAACATATCATTGACAGCTAGAAAAAATAATCTTGATCCGAACAGCTGTTCGTTATTTCATAGACGATTATGTGATAAAAATTGAACGAAAATTTGACAAAAATCGCACAAAACTGCATTTTTGAACGTCTGTAATTTTATTTACAAAGTAGTGAGGCTATATTTAAATCACTAAAGACACTCTCGCCAATCCAGTGAATACATTAAAATGACTTGGATCTTGATAGGTACTCTGGTTTTCACGGAGAAGATTGCGTAAAATGCCATCTTGAGTGTTACAGACAAAGGGAAAGACAGACAGACAGACAGACAGAGACAGAGATAAGACTCGTTTCTTCTTCTTTAATGTATAAAACGTAAAAATAACCTAAAAGTATATAATTCTGAGCAAAGTACAGACAAAACTCTAATTTTATTTATATAGATTTAAACAGAATTAGTTTAATGAGTACTTAGGTTTGCTGCAACAGGGAGGGTAAAAAAGTTTTTTTTCATGTAGAATATTAAAAGGTAGGTACTGTGGTTTAGTAAGAAATTAATGTATTTTCCAACTTTTATCAAAATATGTTCATAAACAAGCAAACTACAACAGTTGACTTATTCTCCATAAGAATAACATGGGAATTTTAAAATTACAATTTTTTTTAATTTTCTCCGTAACAATTAGGCGCATAATAATGCTTCAATATACTAAATTATTTGTTTTTTTAAGCTCTACAAAATGGTTTAAAAAGAAATTGTGAAATTTTGTGTTTTTAGGGCCAAAAATGGGAAAAACCTATTTTTACCCCATAAAACCCCCCATAAACCCCCGTTCCCATAGTCCGATCATGCTGGTTCGCGAACTCATTCAAGTTTATCCCGCCTTACACCTTCAAACCAAATTTTATCAAAATCGGATAAAAATTACTCAAGTTATCTTGCGGATGGACACACATATATATATATCTCTATATATAGATACATAAAAATTTGAACGAATGGTGTTTTTGACCTCTGGGGACATCAAAATGAAAAAGTAAATCGGTCCCGGGCTTAGGTCTTACCATGAGACCTACGGTAATAGCTACTTCCCTATAGGGAAATTCGCTAAAAAGTATTTTTATTCTAATTTCAGTCTTATCTTACTTAATTTACAAACTGATGTAATTTCCACTTTCAATTTAAATGTATACAGAGCTGTATTGTTGACTCCCTTGTCTATTCAAATGATATTAGACTTTATAATATAACTACTTGCCTATGTTAAGTATAAACTATTGGTAAATAGGAAAATAACTAATGATAAAAACAAGACTTGTTCTGTTATTCACAAAACATTTCACTACAATTTATTTTTATTTTTCAGGAAGACAAAAACGACATTGATGATGATGACGAAGATGATGATGACAGCTCTGACGATGATGATGAAGAAGAAGATGATGATAGCTCTGATACCTCTGAGGATAAAACTGAGGTTCTTTCTATAATAAGATAAGATTAAGTACAATTTTGACAGAAATATTGAAACTTAAAATATAACAACATTCTACACTGACTTAAAAAAGAAGTTCAATCTCTGTAACTGGATTAAATTTATTGCCGTAGAAATGACTCTCTTCTCTTTTATATAGTTTATTCTGTGAAGAGATTATCTTATTCACAATCTAGTCTTAGTAATTAAGTTATTGACTTGTCACATATTTCACCAGGTGCTGGAACCAACAGAAATATTTTGTGACCAATGAATGGTTTGAGTTAGAGTTTGAGTGTGACCTTTGACTTCACTACACACTAGAAGCTCACTATTTGAGGATTCCAAGTTGTTTTCAAAATATTAAGTCAATACTTTGAACATATAACATCAATACCAGTAATATATTTTCATTTTGAACACCTTGAATATCAACTTTTTACATTTCATTGTGATAATATGATTATGTGTTACTCTTTCACAGTCCACTGAAGAGATTTCACTGACGTCAGAAGAAGAGAAAAAGTCGAAGGACGTCTCAATGTCAGCCATCCCTCACTCCGGGCCTGACTCCTCGCCTCCCGCTTCCTCAGATTCTACAGACGAGAGCAGCGGATCCAAGGCAATATCTGGCAGTTCCTCTGATGTAAGGAGTACCATCAAGTCTATAGATGATAAATTCAGTCACTTATTCTTTTCTGAGCTTTGCTTGAATGTCAAGTGATCCGCTTCACATTCTTCTATTCACTTAACATCCTTTTTCATTGATTGATGTATATTTATACTCTCAACAGTTTCTTATCACTGTTTTTATATGGCTCTCCTTTGTAGCATTTCTGTTATGAATACTTTAAAACCCTTTTGTTTTTACAAAACTAATCTTGTTAACCACAATACTCTTGTTCTAATTCTACTTAATACTTTCTGTGGTTTCCACTTGTAACCCGGTCTGTTCCAGTCCTCATCAAAATCATACGCAGAAGTTTCAGTCATTTGTAATCCCTCTTCATTGAGGTCTGTCATCTTCTTGTCTCTTTCTCGACCTGATAGGTAATTTGTCTGGGTAGTTGAATGGTTATAATTCAATCAAAAGGTTTCCAGTTTTCTCATGAGAAACAGAAAATATAGCTTTTTGATTGCTCAAAACTGGAACCAGCTGTCCCTGATCACTGGGCTTCAAATAAACTATCGTGCCTAAAGAAACGGTTCATCTAAGCCAGTAAAAACACAGATAACCTCCCTCCATTCTACACTCATCTTGCATTCCTATTCAGTTTAAAATAAGCACCTTGGTGTGGCTCACTGTCTTAAAGTAATTATAGTTTTATAATAATCACGATACTACAATTTTGTTTTAGATCTTCCAGAGAGTTCATCTTTCAGTTGTGTTTTTTTATTTCTTGTTTGCTATTTGTTTAACCTATTCCCTAAATTTGTTTGGCCCGACTACAGCTATACTTCTAATCTACTTGTCCTCTTATATTCAAATATTGTTCACTTCTGGTGAAATAATTCTCAAATTAAAAAATTTAAATCTCTTTTAACAGTTTTGGGGTCTCTCGTTTGAGCCATCAAACAAAATTGGTCTTATGATAGTTTAATTAAGCCTAATTTAAGCTGAGTGTGAGAGGTTACGTTCTCTTTTTAAACTAACTTTCAGTCATTCTTTTCTTAGATAATGTTCCTAATCGTAACAATCCTCTGTAACCCTATAAATCAGGTATCGTTTAGATTGCATCCCTCCTCTCTACAAATTTGTGTAGATATGGTGGAGATCAAGTTTGTTCCTGGATTGTTACAAAGTTAGTGTTTATTGTTTATGATAAATGTACCATACATTAATCTTAACTTAAAAAGAATCTAGATTTAATATGGATTAAATGTTGACCAATCCAAGTGTATTCCAGTATTCAGAGATTTCCTACACCATGAGCTCTAGTGCAGAAGATGCTTTTCCTGTGCAAGATTCTTCAGCGGATGAAACCAAAGAAAAGGAAGTAGATGTAAGTTGGGAAAGGTTTTGTCGGAATCCCAACAATCTTCTTTCATACTTCTATTTGTTGTTCTTCCAAGGAGGAATATGTCGTTTTGGCACTTGACCAATGCTATCATTCATGGAGTAAGTCTATAGATACCTCTATTTATATGCATGAAATATTTGTCTTAACCCCTCAAAATACAATCAAAGCATTGTATTTCTACAGGTGTCCTACACCATGAGTTCTGACGCATCGGTGTATTCTTCCTCGGAAGAAAATTACGAAGGGAGCGGAAGTAAGAGTTTGGAGGAAGTAAGTTGGGATTCCTCAAAGTCTTAGATTTAAAGTTATTCTATGTGAAAGTTATTGTAGTATGCTAAAATAGACGAGCCTGCATAAAAAAGGTTGTATGGTTATGGTTATCACCTCTTACCTGTTGAACAACATTTTTAACTTGAATCATCTATGCTATACTCATTTATCTTTGTACAATGTTTGGTCAAACATGATAGCAAAACGTTAATTTTCAGACTAATTGAGGTATTTTGCAACACCTACCAATAGACTTTTTTAATGCAGACTTTTGTGGCAGTATGGATTTTCATGATTGGTACTGAAATGGGTGATTTATTTTAGAAATAGAAGTATTTATGAAAATAATACCTTTTTTCTTTGAAACACCGTATACAATAGGTGATTTCTTTGGCTTTAATTTTTTTTTTTACATGTCATCTGATAATGATATTTTAGAAAAAAAGTGTTCTGCCAACCTGTTTTAAACCTTTTTTGTTGCATACACGCTGACATTTTGTATAAAAATATTATGCTGTATAATTATGTAAAATATTTGAAAATATGGCAAAAGTCATTGGCATTCAGGAGAAAACTAGAAGAAGAAGAAGAAGAAGTGTCAATGATTTTACTTTATCAATGAAGCCAGTGTTGCCACAATCTATGAGTGCAACAGTGAAATCAACCCTGCAACCGACAGAGCTCACCACCGAAGAGGTTAGTACAGAAATAGCTTGTCATGTAAATAGTCATGGTGGAGAAATATGAGAGTTTGTAAATCGACATACAAGTCATTATGGTCAATTTGAAGTGTATAATTATTCACAATGAAATATGTTACATGTCTTGTTGTTAATCCATTGTTTATTTCACATGACTACTTATGAGGTCAATTGCTCCATTTAATATGATTGTTATAACTATTCAACAGAGAAAAACATTTAAATTCCTTGAAATTTGATTAGGGACGAATATAAAATATTAGAATTACCATAAAAATTATTACTAACATAATTTTACATAATAGGTCAAAAGAAACAAGGCCAATCCAGATACTGGAAAAATTATTTCATGGGCGAAAATGTAATATAAATAATTTACTCCTTTTTTTCTTGTTGAGATTTTGATCACTGTGCCAGTTATATTACCATTGACTTTTGGATACTGAAATAAACATCTCTTTTATATGGATCGACTATAGCCGAACGTACAGTAGTTTGAATTATCCTCTTTCAGAGTGTGTTGTAGTCTAAAATTCTGTATTTGCCTTTAGTTCATTTTGCTGTGATAGTTAATTTGACATAAAGGATGCTATTGTTTAAAATGATTTCTCCTTTCAGTTTGACTTGGTTTCTAAATTGACGGATTCCACAGAAATCAGTTTCTTACATTAGGGCACCCTGTCGGTGGCACAATCCAACCAAGCTCAGTTTCATTTAACAACTAGCTACAACATTAACGTTAGAACGGAATGTCTAGTTCTATTAATTGTATGAACAAGTAAGGATTTTTTCAATGTCCATTTGTACAATGTTGAATTATTTAATTTGACAGTAGCTGTTGTCAATTTCTCCAAACCTCAGAGTTTTGACTGAGTTTGTTGTGTGCTTACGGCCAGTACGAGTGCAGTATTTACCGCATGCCTGACTCACCCGAGGACAGCCACGAGCCTCTGATGTGGGCGACGACTCCATGGCCGGACTTTGACGACGATGACTCGGAAGTACATTACATCCCTAGCGAGAGTAAGGTGTGTTCACTTTTGGTAGTGTTGTACAAAGAGGCTGATTGAAATTGAGAAAAGATTATAGATAAATCATTAATTAAATTTTTTATAAAGCTTAAAAAAATACTTATAAGTTTCTAGATTGAATATACAGTATTTCAAATTGGTACACGTTTCTTTTTCATTGTAAAAAATGTGCCATACTGATTATACATTTGATTTGAATAGCTTACAATCAGTTCTAGCATGCTATTCATAGTGAAATTAAAATTGTATTTTAAATTTCTTATTACCTTCTGAATGGTCTGCTTTAGCTGTGGACAACACGAGAAACTGAGGATTCAAAGCCGCATATTGAAGATGTGAGTAAATCTTATTATTGAAACCTTTTTAATATTTTATGTTCTCCTAATTATTTTATTCGTAGCTAACCCTTTTTAATTTTAAAGACAAATTACCGTATAAGTTAGGTTTTAAAAATTAGGGTGGCCAGCTGTACTTTCACACTGAAGTTTGGGTAAACATCATATTGATTCTCAATAGTCAGTGGCACTGTACTAACTCAATTTTAATTCAAAATTTTCAATTTTTCATTTTCTAAATTTTATCAGTTCCTGGGAGTTTATGTCGATAGGGTAAAACACACAGGCGTAAAAACAATTCAATGCTTAGAGAGCTAGCAACACTGGTAAAAAACACTTTTTGAAATGTGGTTTCTTATGATTTTTGCTAAGTGGTGATTGTTTTTTAGAAACTAAAATAAATCTAAGCTGAAAGGAAGAAGATGCCATGATGGCTACAAAGCTGATACAAGGAGAAAGGTTCTGGCAAAGTGAGCATCAGAGACAGCTAATGTAGAAACAATTCTTTACTGTTTAATTGCCAGTACGGTTGGCCAACCAAGCACAAGAGGCAGTTAGTCCCATTGTAAATACTCTTAACTTAGCTAAATTGAAGAGAGCACATTTCTTCACGTTTCTTATACCGATATATCAAAATATATAATATGATAGTAGAAAATATACAGTTTTGAATGCTATTACTCTTAAAAAGTAGTATTTTTTCCACACAAAATAAGTTGTAACTATCGCAAATGGTCCCTAATTATTTTTTTATCCTCATATTGATAATCATATCACCACTATCTAACAACAAATAAACATTTATCTTGTCAATGTTTCTGTTGTTTTAAATAACATGTAGGAAGTACAAGTTGTGTATAATGATAGATACAGTTCTTTTGTATCCACCACAACCACATACAGGTAGGTTGATATATTTTAAATCTAATTAATTACATTTTTATGTGTCCCCAATTTTTTCAGGAACTTTATGACATGTTTAACAAGTTCACTGTTGGGAGATTGGATAGTTTAAAGCAGGTCAGTGAGGTGAGGTAAAGTGGCAAATTTAAAACAGTTACATAATCTTAGTTTTTACGTCCTTAATTCTGAAAATAAAGTTGTTGCAATTTGACTGAGAACTGGTGTCAGACAAGAGACTAAACATGGCCTAACTTGCGTGAACTTATAAGCTTCTTTAGAAATTGGCATATTGTGGTAAACAGACCGAACATTAAATACCCCCGTCGCAGCAAACCTGCAGGCTAAGCAGATTTCCATTTGCCTGATTGGATTTATTCTAAAATATCTTCTTAAAAATATCACTTTTATTCCCTATTTAAATAGAATTTTTAACGAGTACTTAGGTTTGCTGCAGCAGGGAGGGTAAAAATTGTTTTTGTGTGTGAAATGTTAATAGTTTAGTATGAAATGAATACATTTTCCAAAATTTATCATAATATGTTCATAAACAAGCAAATTACAACCGTTTACTTATTCCCCTTAAAAATAATATGGGAATTTGAAATTTACAATTTTTTGGAATTTTCTTTGTAACCATTAGGCGCATAATAACGCTTTATATGCTAAAATTATTTGTTTTTTGAGTTCTACAAAATGGTTTGGAAATAAATTGCAAAGTTTTATGTTTTAGGGTCAAATGGGAAAATCTATTTTTACCCCATAAACCCCCCTCCCATAGTCCGAAAATTCTGGTTCGCAAATTTGTTAGAATAAATGTAGGTTTACACCTTTATACCAAATTTCATCTAAATCAGATCATTTGTGCTCGAGTTATCATGCTAACAGACACACACACATATATACATATACCCCCGCCTCAGCAAAACTGCCGAATAAGCGAATTTCGATTTGTCTGAATCTATTAACTAACGAGTACGGTACCTAGGTTTGCTGCTGAAGGGAAACTAATAAAGGGTGTATGTTTTAGTAAAATAATAATAGCTTAGTATTGAAATTTTCAATATGCCTTATTCAATTAATTTGATATCACGGACGATTACATAATATTAAACATTAGAAATGACGAAATAAATGTTAACAAAAACCATCTTCTTTATTTCATTCATCAAACAACAACACATTAAACTATTATCTGTTTTAACAAAACAATTGAAAAGCATATGGCTGTTTATTTATATTAATCAGGAAACGGTCTTTTGGCAAACTTATAAGGAAATATCTATTGAGGGGTTTTGTTTATAAATGATTAATCATTGTACGTCAGTAGGTACTAAATAAATTAATTTACCAAGTTTGATCAAAATATATCAATAAACAAGCTAACTAAAACATTTTACAATACTCTCCATAAGAATACCATGGGAATTTTATATTTACATTTTTTTTTGAATTTTCTCCGTTAATAATAACTGTAAAAAAACACTTTGATATAGGTAGCTTTTTTTAAGCTCTTTAAAAAGGTCTAGAGAGAAATTGGGAAATTTGGTGTTTTGAGGGTCAAAAATGAGAAAGTGAGAAGTGCCCCCCCCCCTCTAGGAGTCACCAAGTTTCAGATGTTTAATAATTTTGTATCAAAGTATTACAGTTTTAGGTTCTAAAAACCTTTAGAAGATCAAACATATATTTAATATGCAATTACACTTAAACTGTGACCATGGATGTTTTGTAATTGCAATATCATAATTTGTTTGTTTATCTATATTTTTATTCATAAATATGCATAATAATTTTTTTCAGAGGAAGTTGTCTGTACTCCAAACTCAGCTGTCTGGATTGGTGAGATATTGCTGCACTAGTCAGTTGTTTAAACTAGTCAATCAATCATATTAAATAATAATATTTCAATACAGCCTTTTATCATTAAATAGTTTTTAATTGAACAGGTTTAGTCTTAAGTTTTAGTTTTTACTATTTTACAAAATATTATATTCGTTTTAAGTTAGTAAGTAGGCCATGAATCTTATAAATATCCCTACTGCCACAAAAAGGACTAAGTTCAGAAAAAAATAGTCATCATTAAATTTTTGTTATTTTGACACTGTCAATGTATTTTTTCACAGGGTTCTGCATCTAACGAAAAGGCTAAGACAAAGTCAGAGAAGAAGGCGAAAATTAAAGCAGCTCATAAGACGAAAAAGGGCAAGAGGGTAAAACTTGGTAAAAAGAGTAGTAAAAACAGAATCAATGTCAATGATAATAATTTGAAACTGCATCCTTTGAGTGATGAAAAAGAACACTCTTTGAACAAAAAAACTGCAGGAGACCATTCATTACGGTTGGAAATGACTACTGGTAATGTATTGTACATGGAGAAAGATGAACATCTCAAAGAGAAAAGTAAACAGCTGTCAGATAGAGAAGTTCACTTCCAAGTCACCACTGAAAGAGTGTTAAACTTACACAATGCAGCTAAGAAAGAAGAACCCTCTAGAAGTGCTGCAGGATCGAACCCTTCATCAAGTAGAAGGAAAGGTATGCTGTCAACTAGCAGTTCAGCTAAAAATAATACTTACGTTTAGGTTTGAAGCAGCAGTTGCAATTTTATTACTTTATATTAATCTATTTAATGGCCAGTAAAAGTCTATACTGAAGAACTCTTTTTATTGCCAAGGAGTGAAAGACTTTCACAGCTTTGTACAGAGACTTTAAACAAATGGACTTGCTTGATTAAGCAAGGTGATTAGGCTTCAGTTTTTATAAAAACCACGAAACAAACATGGTTTTGGAGTACAAGCCTTTCCCCTTTCCCATGGTTAAATAGGACTAGATCCTGAACTAAATCACTAAATGTTAGTTTACCTGTTTGGACTTTAAACAAATAGAAGCATGTCTACGGACACTATGTATATATGAGTTGTGGCTCAGTCTTTAACTTGAAAGACTAAAAATCCTTAGCAGCGAAGTCAAGAGTTTGGATCCTAGTACCAACAAAAATTGACTAATCATGAAGTATCATTAAACTTTTAATGTTTTTCAGTTTCAACCAACGGTGGATCATTAGCCTCTAAAGAGAGACCTGCCATGGAACTATTGAAAGTGAAGCCAGCCGATCCCAACAGGAAGTCTGATCTTGAACAAGAGTTGATTAAGGATTACCCAGAGAACGGAACAGTGGAGATCACAAACTGGGCAGGAACGTTTGCTCCAATACACGGAGAGCCGTATGTTGCTCCTCTTCATCATCAGGTAAGTTAAGCGTGGCCATTGATAATCAAGACAGATTCAAACTTGGGAACTCGGTGGGTTAGTCAAAACAGTTATACTTTCTTTATACAGCAAATCATCTATCAGTCGCATGAACATAATTTACTTTGAACAATGTGTTAGACGTTATTTTGAAATACTTAGTTTTCAAGAATTTTTTGCAATGAAAAACTATACTTTTTTTGGTTAAAGGAAACATCACAATGCAACAAAAAACAAACACGAGAAAGTATTCTTCCTTCCATCCAACGTTTGTCAGCTGAAAAAAAAAATGCATTGGAAAAATTATTCTGCTGAATGTATACTTAACTAGCTGTAACCCGCGGGCTTTGCCCCGTTTAACTTCTTAATTTTCAAGATTATCTCGTTCGCATGGCTCAATCACGTCCTGGTTGAAGTTTAATCGCTACGCTCACTCACCTTTAGGGTGGAGCTCGTTCGCTACGCTCACTCACCTTTAGGTTGGAGCTCGTTCGCTACGCTCACTCACCTTTAGGTTGGAGCTCGTTCGCTGCGCTCACTTGCCTTCAGGTTAGCTCGTTCGCTACGCTAACTCGCCTCCAGGTTGAAGTTCGTTCGCTACGCTCACTCACCTTTTGGTTGCAAATTAGCTGTTGTCATAAATGTAAAAGAAATAATAGTGCTGCACCCTGTTGGTAATCCTTGTAACTTTAATGCTATTGAACATCATAGAACAGAACCAACTTGTTTAATTGAAACAGCTGTTAAGATTCAATAATTCCATTTCTCATAAGGTTAACATGGGAAACTCCAGAGCCACTGGGGCGGAGCCCGAAAGGATTTTTGAAATAAGAATATGCCTATATGTTAATCGGGAATGTGAGCTATCATCATGCCAAATTTCAGCCCAATCCGACCAGTATTTTTCGAGTTTACTTTTCCCATACACACATACACACATACAGCAACCACCTCTTTTTTATAATAGTATAGATTATTATTGTAACCATACTGAGTGAATCAGTGGATGGCACTGTTTTTACTGAATTAAATCATCACATTGCAATGTCTTTTCAGCCTGATGAGTTTTGGGACGCCATTTACACTTCAAAGGACCCCGACCTACCTACACCGCCCGGTGCTGATGTCAGTGAAGAGGCAACAGTAAAACCTCTCAAAGGTCCAGAGATCAGCATGCGCCGGCTTGCCACCATGGTAACCTGTAGTTGTAGTTTATGTGTGTGAGTTTGTGTATATGAGTTGTTAACTTTAAAGTTTTCCATTCGTTCATCTTAGTCTTTTATTGACGGTTTCTTTGGCTGATTTTCCAGACTTAATGATTTTTTCAGTTTTCACTATACCTACTTCAACAAAATCTCCCCAATAGTAGTACAGTTTTTGAGGATTTTTTCGTTTTCTGGGTTTTCACTTTGTAAACAAAATCATCTTCTAGTTCCTAAAACTCTGGCGTTTTTTGAATAGTAATGTTATCTCTCTGTTTTTTTGTGTTGTAGTTGGGTTCTGTTGTGAGTATATTCAGTAGCTTCCTCCTTCCAGCATTTCTAAAATTTCCGCAACGTGTTGTTCAGAATAGGATCGGAAGAAACAGTCGGGTAGGTTTACTAAAATCAAAATGGTCATCAATTTCTATAAGCGCAGATCCACTGTCGTTTAGTGCATATACATGTTTTTAAGTTTTCAAAAGCATTTCACAAATTTTTTCTGGTTGGTATCGTTACACTTTATAACTTTTTTCTTCATAATCACAAGCTTTATCACCTCAATTAATCTACAACTTCAAATGAGATTTTCTTGAATGCTGTATCTGTATCGAGACACATTGATCAGGTTTTGACATTGATTGTTTGTTTCTAAACTCTTATGTGTTCCAGTATAAATTAGTGGTTCTAACCAAAGTTGTATTAAAACAATTTCCAGAGAAATTCTGTACTCCACCTTGTTAAGTCAAAAAGATGCTAAAATGTTTAAACATATCATGCACCCCAATGTTATCTCCACTCGGAGCCTTTAAAATTAAGATTTTTTTACTTACGTCTGTATTTTATTTATTTTAAAACTTATCTAAATTTTATAAAAACATCTTGTAATATGCAACTTAGTTTTATTTTATTTTTACATTTTTTAATAGCATTTGTATTTTTCAGGTAAATCACCCGACTGACCATCTCCCTGACCCGAGTCATTTTGGGGTATGTTTGCAATTACTTTTTCCTTGAACAGTTTGTATTATTTTACCAAACCGTTCCAATTCCAACATTGAATATATCAGTTGCAAGACTGACATAACCAAACTTCTACTTAGAACTATCTATGCAAGTACTGGGTGGGTTTTTATAAAAAATCCAAATTTTACAATTATACAAAAGATTTAGTTTAGGGACAAAACAAGTCTGTTTGTTGGCTGCCATGCTTTATTTTCTAATGATATTTTTTACTTGATTACCGCTAGCTGATAATTATTGTTGCATTGTTATCTGGTTAAGTGTTGTTGGGAATTGATTGTGAATATGCCTAAACACAGTTTTCTCTCAAAGATGCATTAATAAATCTTGAACCCATGTTCAAGATTTGTAAATGCATATTTATAGAAAATAAATATGGCATATTATTTATCTTCACATTTTTATAACCTGTATATGATTAATTCGTAACTGAAATCTCCCCTGGAAACTTAATTGCAAACCTTTCTTTATATAAAACGAATTTTTACTTTAAATGTAATTCTTTTACAATAACTTACATAATCTTTGAAGTTTCCAAAACACAATGTTGAGTCTTATTAAAAATAATTCCTATAGCACTGAGCTTTTGAGACAACAATGCATCAAAATCAACGGCATATCAGCTGATCGGTAATGAAGAAAGGGAAGCAGGACTACCAACTTATTAGCTTGTTTTGTCCCTAAACAGTGACACTCTATACTTGTTAGTTTGGTTGTGTTTTATAAAAAAAACACCCTGTATAACTGAACAAAAACTATTGAAAGCTATTCCTGCACAATCTGCAGCCTGGAAATCAATTTTGGGGTCAACCAGCAGTGTTAATGCAGCAGACTTAAGTCTGACCATTGGCTGAGCGGTCTAAGGTTTTGTCTCAATAGTGAGTAGAGAGCAGGGTCGATGGTTCAAACCTTGCCTTGGTCAGGTATACTGTGCAGTGTGCACCTCTTGATGAGGCTGTGGTAAAACAGACCCACCTAAAAAAATAGAACTGATGGAAGTTGACGGGATGGGTGAATTCTTTGCTAGTGCACCTCAAAACTTTTAACCACTAAAGATTTAGATTTAAATCTAGATTCATTTCTTTCACTGCATATTATATCACCTACTTTGTTTGTTGTAGCCAAACACCCATTCTGATAATCAACCAGACCACAGTAATGTTGAGGTAGGTGTTTATTTTACTGCATAACTTGTTATTGGTATAAGATCAATAAAAATCCTACTTGAAAAATTTCCCAGACTTGCATATTTATTTTAAGATTTCTGTAGAAGATTTACACCCTAGTAAGTTAAATATGTTTATACAATTTTAATTTTTAAAATATAATTCTTATTCAAGTCAGATGAAAAAAATATCACCATTTACTATTCACATCAGCTAGCTGTAAAAACTCATTAAATGCCATACCTACAGTAGAATAGCAGTCTTGAGTCTAAAGCTTGATAGACGTTTAAAGACTGAAACGTAGCTCATGAAAATGTAAACAAAGTGCACAGTAGGTGGATAGAAATTGTTAAAAAATAAGAAAACTATGTAAAGTTTTTGAAATTTGTGTCAGGAAAAATTAATGGCCAATGGAAAGTGTAACATATTTCCAGTCACTTTTAAAGTTCATTCGCTTATGTTCTTTCATTGTTATAGGACACTAACAAAATAGAAGCTAAAGACAAAAACAAGGGTACTGATAAGACCGATAAAAAGAAACCTAAACTGACGCTGAAAGAGAAACGGAAGAAAAAGAAGGAAAAGAAAGAAAATCTACGAGGGGCATCGGAATCAGCAGTAAGTTTTTAACTGTTAATTTTTTAGGTAAAGATAAAGAAGTTACTTTGACTAGCGTTAGCGTTTAGGTATTAAATATAAGCACTTTTTTGTTTATGATTAACCAATAGCAATGCATTATATTTCATTGTGTAGCTTTCATATAGTGAAAACATCTTACAATCGGTATAACAATTAATCAGGATAAATTACCAAAAGGTTTATGATCCAATTTCACACAAGTATGTCATTAGCTGTCCAGAAGTCAGTATGGGCTGATGTAAGCTAGCCTATGTAACTATACAACAAGACACGTCTTCTTATCTAACACTATTCAATTTATTTATACTTATACTGAAATCTATTACTAGATGGTAAATGCACGTAAGATGTGTTAAAATTACAATCAATTTCTATCAGTCAATGGGTTATCATCAGTTTAAAATTAAATTGATGATTCCAGTTTTGTAATAGTAAAGTTGACAGTGTAAGTTTAAATATATTGAATAAGGGTTTAAGATGTATTTTATTATATACCTATCTCCAAGCATATGCTTTGCTAATATAAAAGAATGGAGTCTCAATAATATTATATATAATCTATCTCAATAATATGCTATGTCTGCATATTATGCATACATCAACACTGCATAGCGTGGTGTTACCATTTAAAATATTCACCATATTAATAACTGTCTAAACACCTCATCAAGTTTTATTTGGTTTTAATTCATGTTTGTAATTTTACAGGCTATTGTAATGGCTGGTACGAACAATCAAAACCTACAGGTAATTATTTTATTTAATAAGGTGCAGTTTTTATTATACTTACTATACTCGTGATGATCCCACTAGTAGCTTCCCAGCAGTGGCCGTCAAATGTATTTCTGGTAGTGCCTATCTTCTCTTACTCCTCCAAAAAGTCTTCCAATTTGTAGTAGGCCTTTTCTATCAAGTAATTTTTTAGCCTTTTTTAAAAATATATTTTTGTCTTGGCAGCTTGTTATGTCTTCTGGCAGTTTATTAAATATTAATATTATTAATAATATTAGTTTATTAAGGTAATAAGTTTGTTTCCAAAAATGAAAATGAAAACAAATTAAACTGTGTCTTTTTACTTTTTAACCAAGTCTTTGTTTAGTTTTGTATTTACTTCTGAAATGATGAAAAATAATGTCTCAACCAGAGTGAAGTAACTGTAAAATAATATGGTTGAAAGTATCTTGTCAATATATTTTATATGCTATCGATTAACATGGAACCTTTTGATAATTTTTTATTCTTGTTGGTTATTGATATGGTATTACCATGTTCAGTTTTAAAATTTTAATTCCAGAAAACAATATTTGAAAAAAAACATTTATTGGGAAATAATTGACAATGATGGCTTTGATCCAAAAGTCAGCTAACATTTCGGCCCATATTCTTGAGGCTTTGTTTTTTCCTGTAACTTATCAAATCATAACTACTGTATAATATACATACTTGTCAAAAAATTTACATAAATTTGCATGAACATAACATTTGCATAAACTTTACATGTTATGTAAAGTTTATGCAAATGTTTTACTAAGTTTTTATCATTAATTATACTATCAAATTTTTTTACTTGTATGCATTTAAGAATTTGTTAAAACAATTTTTCAGAACCAGCCTTCAGTCGTGGTTCGCAGGACTTTGGATGCACATGTGAGTACTACAATTAATTGATTATGATTTCACTATCCACAAAGATGCTCTATTTTGATGTACATTTATTCCACTGTGCTTTGAACAATGTACAATAAACATGTGCAGTAATAAATGCAAGTGAAGAAACTAAAGTTTTTCATATTATAAGTGGTAATAAACCCTGTAAATTTTCAAATGAATTTATTTGGTTTAGAAATTTTTCAGTTTGGACAACAAGCAAAACCGTAGTAGGTGTCAGAATTAGAGATTAAATAGTTTTTTAAAGTATTATAATGCAGACCCTATTTCATTGCAAGATGAAAATTGATGATTAAAAATGTTAAGATTTTTTTCCTCAAGTGTGGTTTTTTTATCTATGTTTCTTGTATTTTTAGAAGAACCTAGTTCATCCGCAGCTTTCTGTAGTCTCGCCACACCTCCCTGTAAGTATAAAATATTATAGTCAATGATTTCATAAAAATCTATTTCTTCTTACATAAAAATTAATTTCTTCTTACATAAAAATTAATTTCTTTTGCTGTAATTCCTTTTAAACACACCAAGAACAAACTAAAATTTTTTCATAACATGACGTTTTTCAACATAATCTGATGGAATCATCATGAGATTCAAAACTATTAGAGTTAACCTTAAATCAACGTCAAAACGTACAAAAATACTAAAATTAAAACAAATAATTTATACTGGGATAACATTTTTACAGTAATACAAGCACAATATAATAACGATTTGTTAAACATTATAATATACATAATTATTGTAGGATTATAAGCATAGACAAAAATAATAAATATAGACCGTCAGCTGTGCTGCGGTTATCATAAGTTCTGACGTCCACCCATAGGTTTGCCTTGTAGTTACGGCACACACCGCTGCAGCGTCTGCTGGTCGCATACGGCTCCTGCACTCCTCGCCTGCAGTGGTGTGCGCCGTAACCACACGGCACTCCTAGCGGTGGGCGCCGGAACCTTCCTTTGACAGTCTATATTTATTCTATTTGTCTATGGTATAAGACACAAGAGAGATACATTACCAGACAAAAATTGTTTAGATAATACTACCAAGATATGAGTTAATGAGTTTTGCACTGCTTCAAACCAGATCACTGCATTTAAAAATCTAAGTCTTCAATTATACAAGCTGATGTATTTAAAAGAATACCGGTCTTAGTCAGTACCTAAAAAAGCTACACAGGTCATCTCGCTCCATTCTACACTCATCCTTAATTCATATTTGGGTTAAAATACGCACCTAGGGTCTCAATAAATGATAATTGATACCTTTTTAAATGACTTATCCTCTGCTCATCAAAATTTGTGTCCTAAAGTGTAATTTGTTTCATTATCCATATCATGTTTCATATAACCCATATCCATATCATCCATATCCATATCTATATCATGAATCATGTTTACGATCCGTAGTTAATTCATTTTCCAAAAAATCTAATCAAAGTGAATGTTTTAGGATTTTCCCCAGCCATTTCTCTTGGAAATGCCTATGCAAACTCTGGTGCAAAACGTAATACCTAAACTTAGATGTTTGTAAAAATTCATTTAAATCTATTTTACATTTTTATAAACAATGTGAAGTGTGTTCAGGTTTATTTCCTATGTTCCTGGAACTAATTTAGTTGTAAGTCTTAAAGAAATGTATTTAAACCATTACCATTTTAACCAATAATATTTTTTTCATTTTTTGTTGAGTTACACATTTAGATTGGATTTAATATATATTTCTTGTTGACTGTCAACATTTTAACCTTGGCTCTTGGAATCGGTACTTTTCCAAAGAACCGGTGATACCGAGAATTGACTTTAGGTGCCTTTTTACCTCGTATTTCATCTTAAAAATTAAGTGAACTATTTATCAGTATTATAAGCTGTATTTTGAAATCTTTTTAAAAAATAGGTTGATTTATATCACTTGCTCATTGGCCATGGTTTGGACCACAAACAACCCTTACTTATGGTTGAAATATTTTTTTTCAATAAATCCACTTGAAAATTGCAAGTAGTGCAAACTGAGAAATTTGTGAAGGCTTACATAGAATAACATTATGTAGCTTTATTGTTTCTTTTTTTAACCTACAAAACTATAATTTACTTATTAAAAGTTTTAATAAGTTTTCCCAGTAGCATATTTCATAACTGGTACTACTATCAAAAGGGAAATTTTTGGACACTAGCTAGAAAGGTTTTAGCTCAGAGTCACTTTTTATGTGTTTGATGAAGTATATTCTTCCTATTGATTACCATTTCACATTTGATAATTAAATTGCTAATATTTATTTGATGTCCCCAGAATAAAGAACTTGAATTATGTTAGGTTACATTTATTGTTCTTGTCCATGTTCTTCAGTAGGTATATGTAAGATTTGTGCCACCCTATGCATTTGCCAGCTTGTGTAATATCTTATGGACTAAGCTATATAGTGTTAGTGATAAGAAGATAACTTAAGAAGACCCTTTGAAGATACCACTCAAGCTGGTGAAATGCAAAGGACGACATAAAATGTTACCTACTCAAACACACAGGCAACATATTAATTATTGTTAAACTTGTTTATCATCACAATTCTGTTTCCAATTTTTAAGTTGGCTTCCATTATTTTGTTGATATTTTGAACAATCAATCGTGAGTCACAGAGATACTCAGTCATAAGATCCTGAGAAAAGTCAGTTCAAAACTGGACCCAGCTTTCCTTGATCATTAGACTTGTTGTAAATGATCCTGGCTAAGAAATAGCTGGTTTTAGTCACTAACAAAACCTTACAGACCTTTTCACGCAATTTTACACTTGTCATTTACTCATATTCACCTTAAAATACACACCAAAGTGTGGATCATAAATGGAAATATTTATGATCAAAATCATCAATTGATTACTACTACTCTCAACTCATCAGTTGCTCTGTATACCGTACTTCAATGGGCGTGTTCTGGGAACATGTACCGGTGCACCGGTGCAGATTAACCGGTGACTTATTCACCGGTACCGCCCCCGGGCAAGAGTCTTGGTATCTCGGAACGGTTATTCACCGGTTTAAGGTACACATCGGATTATAATTTACACATTCACCTATTATTTACTTTATAATATTTAAACCAAACAAACTTAACAGAATAAATTATTTGAAAATTATTCACTTAATACGTAATACGTAACACCCTCGTAGAATAAATTGTTCACTCATTACGCAACATAACCTATAAAACTGATGAATATTATTCGATGGACCCGCCATCTTGCCGTAGCTGCATGCTGTTGTCGTTGTCCAAGAAACTGACCAATCAGAGGCCGCCGGTGTATTATGCACCGTACAATTTCTCCAGTGCATAAATCTTGCACCGGTGGAGGAAAAAGAGGAAATAGCTGTCTGCTAGGTTGACTCACCGGTCTCCCAGAACGACACATTTTTGGCACCGGTGCACCGGTATATGTTCCCAGAACGCGCTCAATACAATAATTACCTTAACTACAAATAATGAAACTGCTGATGTCCCCAACACCAGCTGGTATTTTTTCAAGACGAAACAGAACAACTCCTACAGATAGCATTAAAATGTTGTGAGTAGTTCTTCCAGCAATCTGACGCAAGGTCAATTTGTGTGTGTTTCAGCCAAATCTCCTCTCTGAGAATCAACCAAGCCAGGATCATCCTGAGGTCGGTTTATTTTTATTAAGTTACTAGCATTTGTACGTGAATTTCCTTAATTCATAAGTTTTTTTTTTAATAGTCCTGAAATTTCCAGTTTTATTTAGTCAGTGACAGTGATACCACAGTGCTGGCTAGCCTTTACAGTTTTATCCAGTTTGATCACTTTTTATTCCATTTGATTTATTTTATTAACATGACAAGTTTCCATTATTATGATTTCGACAATATATTTAAGAATCTTTTGACATACCGTAACACAATGTATTTAATACATTGATGATGTGGTTGCATACAATGACCTGAAAAAGTTCTGAAAAGGAATGAAACTAGTTGTCATACCAACAACTGTGGTTGGATAAGGTACCTAATCATTTTGTTTAATTAAGAAATGTCCAGGTTTTTGTTTAAGACCGTTACACATTTTGTTTAAGGAACTATTGTTGACAATAGATGTTAAACTATCTTTATATTTGTCCAAAGTAACATTGGTTTTTATTCACCATTATTCCTCCATATAACAAAAGAAATAATTAAAACAATAGTTTGACACTTTTTACGATCCAAGAATGGATCTTTCTTCCTCTTAGAGTACTAACTGAACGATAGGTTAATAATCGCAAACCAGTCTTGGTAAAAACATTCATAAAAAAATAAATAAAAATGTTTATAATTCAAGATTATTGCAAATCTGAAAGCTTCCTCCGCTATGGTTCGGTGGAGACCTTAATGTACAGATAACCCTCATAGAAGCAAACATAGTATGTTTCATTGCACCACATATCTTTTATTTGATTTCAGACAAACATCATTCAACAGTGGAGAAACAACAGCACAGCTGGAACAGCTTATTGTGCACTCTCATTCACAGGTCCTCATTCTCCGACAAATCCCAGGTCCTTTGTGAACCATGAGATCCTTTTGACTATGGTTACCCGTTCTTCCCTTTCATCTCCAGTCGATAGGCCAAGGGATCTCATGCGCAGACCTTGTAGGGCTGGGCACATAAATATAACGTGGAAGGCTGTCTCCTCCTCCTCTCCACATTTCCTACATAAGAGGCTTTCAACTTGAATTCCCATCTTGTGTAGATGTCCACGGAATACCCAATGGCTGCTAATGAAGCCAACCACCTTCCGCAGGGTCTTCCTATTCAGTCCAAGGGCATCTGCCGCTATCGCACCAGTAGGTGTCTGCAGCATTCTCTTTGACTGTACATTGCCTTCTGTTCTTTCCCAGCTCCTTCGATGTTCTATGCTTATCCACTGGCGAACAGCTCTCCGTGCTGTGTTGTGAGCAATACCACACGTCAGCTCTGGACCCATGAATCAATCTTGAACATGAAAGTGTTCTGAACTAATGTGATTTAAAATGTTCCTAATATTGTGGTATCAAAATAATAATAACAACCGACAATTATGTTTATTTAATGACACAAAATAATTTTTTCTGCCTCATCAATTTAATATTTTGAAATAAAAAGTAAAGAAATGTTACACAAAAGACCCTGTAAAACTTATATCCATTTGTTGCAAACAATTTTCAACTTGTTATAGGACAACAACAAAATAGAGGCCAAGGAAAAGAACAAGGCAAAAAAGAACGAGAAAAAGAAAGCAAAATCAACGTTAAAAGAGAAACGGAAGAAGAAAAAGGAGAAGAAGGATAAACTAAGTGGGATTTCAGACACAGTGGTGAGTCTTATCATTTGTTTTCATAAAGGAACCACACAAATTGTTCAATGCAAGTTAAATATATTCATTTAGTCATTGGTTGGTACATTCATTCTTCTTTCTTTTGTGTATCACCTTTCAAAAATCTAAAAAAAAAATTGAAAGACTCTCTCCCACACACTGGAGTAAATTCTCCTTTGTGGGGGATAATTTTGCTTACTAAGTTTTTCCAGAAAATTGTATAAAATTTAGAAAGTTAAATAATATTGAAAATTTTTTTTTATAGGTACAGAGTATAAAAATATGATGGAAATTAATTGTCTGTTTTTTTGCCAAATAAATGATATTTTGATTTGATTTTGTTTTGTATTTATAAAGCATGTATCATACTTGTTAAATTATAAACAGAATTTCAATACCATTACTTCATTCAAGAACAGTCATGTCATACTGTTCAAGTTTTTCAGAGTTTTCATAGTAAAACAAGCGTTAGATATATGATTCATACCAATATTTATGTTTGTTACAAAATTGAAGATTCAAAAATATGTTAAAAATGCAAGAAAAAAATTTAACCAGAAAGGATTCTTGAGTATTTAAAACCAAGTTACAGATGGTGTCACGGTGCGTGGCGCCTCGCTGGAGCATGCGCACTGAGAGCTTTCCCCCACTACGCCTCGATGTACGGTACAGCCACGTTCAAATACTGAAGTTGTGAAAAATAGCATCAGCTGTCAAATTAGTTTGCTTTATGTTTACGTTTTTGTATTTTTCTGTCTCTCTCGCACTGCCTCCCCTACACGCCAAGCACGGTGAAACGGTCTGTACTATATATCATTTTTTAACTGTGATTAAAGAGATTTAAGCACAGGGATACTGAGTGTCTTCAAACCAAGAAAGTTTGTATATACCACTGGCTAAACAAATCAGAAACATGCTGAAAATTAATTATTGCTTTGTTGGTATTAAAGGTCAACAAACTAATTATTGTTTTTACATGGACATATAGTTTTATTTGTTTTTTATTTGCATTTTACAATGTTTTTAGGCAATTGTAGCGATGGCTGGAACTAACCATGACATTCCACAGGTAATTATTTCATAATTAATTAATTATTTTATTTAACACATCTAACTACATAATTTCTCCAAAAAAGTAAATCTAGAGCAAAAAAGTACATGGGTCTGCCCACAAATACAAGACCTATTATTCAGTTTATTGTAAAGTTTTAATGATTTGTGACTGAGATACTTCTGAATTTTCAGTTTAAAATGGTGTTCTATATTCCTTAAGAAATCTCTGTAAATAATTAAGTGTTTTGAATAATAAATGTTAATAATTTAAAATTCTATACCCATCATACAAAACAAAATAAGCTACTGCCTCTAAAAAAAAAAACTACCTAAAACGTAATCACAAGGATAAGAAATTTAGGAGTTAGAGTAGTTTTCCTCTGCTAAAAAAATACTACTACAAATATATACTTCCAATGTCTTCTGTCTCACTCCAAAGTCCAAATCTATACATTTCAATACTCTACATACAAAGCTTGTTCCCGATCAGTCTTTTTAGTTTAACACTATTTTAAAACAAAGTATAATGTTTAAATTTTTTTTGTATAAATGTCCTTAGTTATTTTTAGTTTAATTTGTTGCAGAATCATCCCTCTACTGCAATACACAGCAATGTGGCTGTACATGTAAGTATGAAGAGGTCACTTACTCAGTTAAAATTTATTTGTTGTTGATAGTGTAATTTATATTGCTGAGTGCAATCAAGAAAAGTAATGATCAGACCTCCTTTTGTTACTAAAGGCTCACAATTAGTTTTTTAACTGATCAGTGTAAAGGATGTCCATGTGTACTGTAAATCAAATTGCAACTAAATTTAGTTTTCTGGAATGGAAAATAAATTGTATTCTAGACTGTGAATATTTTTTATACTTTTGGTTTAAATCTCTGTTAAATTCGCTATATCTGTTTTGAGGTATAATGAAAACAGTCCTATGACAATTAGTTATGACAAGAGCTAATCAGCAAAACTGAAAAAAAGTGTATTTAAAATGTATCTATTTTTATATCTAACTCGTGATCATGATATGGACAAGACCTAAACATTGTAATGGAAGTTCAAATTCAAATTCAAAACTTCTTTATTTGTTTCATGTACAGCAATACAATAAATAGCGTCACAGTTCCTTAATCTAACTCAGTACATTGTTGAATTGTTCAGTTATGAAATTGACAGTTATCTACATACATCAGAATTCACATCAGTTAAATTGTACTCTTCAAGAGAGTAAAATGCATTTCTGATCAAAAAACTTTTGAGTTCACTTTTGAACTTGTTTTGATTTTCTATGTTCAATATTTCTATTGGAATATATTTTAAAAATACAGAACCGGCAAGTTTGTTTATGATTGTCTAGTTTAATTAGATGACCTGTAGTCATAGATTACTAGATTAGTAAAATGCCTCGTAAATTTGACATATTTACACTTTTTAGGATGATGGCCTTATTCACCCCCTGTTTCCGGAAATATCACCACACTTTCCTGTGAGTATAAAGTTTACAGAAATTAACTAGATTTCTTCCCTGGACAACATTGCATTTTATTCTCTTTTTGACAAGGAAATCAATGTGTTAATTAAATGTATCAATTATCTATATTAAGGAACGCGGCAGCGTTCCGCCCCGCCAAGTCCCCCAGCGGTACACAGCTGCTGCAGTGTATATATACTTGACGTGACAAAGTGGCTTTTTCACTCGTCTATAGCTCTGAAGAAACAAAAGCTATTAAAATAATTGTTCATCTATTGGATAGGGGCACTCATCCTCAACAAAATAAAAAAAAGAATTTAAAAAACTGTTGTGTTTGAGCCAAGAAAAACTAGTTTGAAAATTCACAAATTTTCCGTGTTCTCCTTCTCCTCCTTCTCCTTCTCCTTGAATGTTGACGGACCTACAGCCCAAACCACTGGCTCAATTTTAATGTTCTTTATGTTGTTTGAAAGCCCTTAACGTGTAGATGTGCCTTTTGAGGGTCTCAAGTCGGTGAGTTGAACCATAAACCCTTGGCAAGCCCTCAAAGTACGATTTTGGCCCATTTAAATAACATGGGATTAAAATCAAAACAAAAGAAGGACCAGCTGCGATTAAATCTCAATTAATTTAAATGTTAGAGAAATTCATAGGAACAGCTGAAAAATTATTTTAAAACTTTCATAAAGTATTTTTTCAGGTATACCGAATGATTTGAACTACTTACTATATAAAATTACTTAGAGCAGTGATATTCCCCGATACTTTCCATTGAAAAATGCAGTGTACCGATGGTACACTGGTACAGCAGTTCGTCATTTTTAACAGTTTAATACTACTTATCAAAACATATGAAACCTAGTAACTTGAAACTTAGTACTAGTACTAAGGTTTGTTTTATGTTTTGATACACTAAAACAAATAAAAGAATCGGGAAAGTCACTTTACGTATGTTAAACCAGCAATTAAAATGTAAATATAGGATTAATTAGTTTTTCAATATTCGTTTTGCCTTATGCTATTTCCAACAAACCTAAACTGTTTGATTACATTTTTACTTCTATAATAAGGGCTCAATTTACACTAGTCTTTAGATATACGGGTTTAATTATCAGAACACTTATGTAACACCAACGCATTTTATGTTGTTCAAGATGAACATTGCTGAATTTACAGCCCCAGACACAGAACCTATATTAATGGATGATGACTAGATTATACAGTTTCAAAGTGTGTGTTTAGTTTAAAATAAACATATTCTTGACAAAATCATAAATAGAAACAACCACCCTGTTGACTATACGTTTAACACATGTTTTCAAAAACTTCCAACGTAGCAATTTTTGTTAAATAGTAATTTTGGTAGGTGTGTCAAAAAGTTTTTAATTGGTTTATAGCAGATAAGACCAAAAAATGTAGAATTTAGTTCTACACAAACAATATTATTGAAATGAAATGAGATGTAGTTGTGCCGTGGTCTATATATTTCACCCAAACTATTTATAACCATTTTTAATTACCAGCTGTAAATAAAAAAAATTTGATGTCTTGTTTATTTTTACAAAAAGAGCAGCATTGTTTATGTTTAGTGAAGAGATCTAGTTCAAGAACATTGAGATGATTGAGAACATTTCTTAGGATCATTTGGTAAGATACCACGTCCATGTTTTAATTGCATTTACTTTCTTTCTAATCTAACATCAGTATGCCTTCTAAAGAAAGACTGGCAAGAAAAAGAAAACAAGAATGGTATTTAGAAAACGCCCCTGCTATAAAAAAAAGAAAAACAGAAGAAGCTAGCATACAATCCACTAATAAGAGTTCTACTTCTAAAGCTTGGTACCTTGAACATGTTAAAGGAGAAAAATCCAAAGCCAGAAAACGTTATCTAGCTAATATTGAAACTGAGAGGTTAAGAAAAAGTGTGCAGTACAGTGCTAATCCTGAACCTCACAGAGCTAGGTTGCGGCAGCAATATTCTGCTAATCCTGAGCCACACAAGGCTAGGAAGCGTCAGCAGTATTCTACTGATCCTGAGCCACACAAGACTAGAGTGCGTCAGCAGTATTCTACTGATCCTGAGCCACACAAGGCTAGGAAGCGTCAGCAGTATTCTACTGATCCTGAGCCACACAAGACTAGGAAGCGTCAGCAGTATTCTACTGATCCTGAGCCACACAAGGCTAGAGTGCGTCAGAAATACTCTACTGATCCAGAATATTATAAAGCTAAACAACGTTTAAACTACGGTGCAAAACAAGAAATGAAACAATCTAATCGCAGGAGACGTTACAAAGTACTTTGTGCAAAACACCCTGGCCACTTTCGCTTGCGATATAAACTTAAGGTTTTTCACGAAAGGGTGCGAAAGTGTGCAGCCTATCAAAGCAGACGCTTTTTTTTTAGAAATAGATCTGATGGGAAAAGAAAATCATTACAAAATGCAAAAAGGAAAATTAAAAAAACTGTTGCAGCTTCACATATTTTCTTGGGGAAAATAAATTGTGAGAAAATAGCCAGACTTATAGCAAAGAAAATACTTGAGCAAGGTTATACCAAAAGGTTGCTAAGGGCTAAAGAGCTCTTGAAATGGGTGTTGCATGCTTATAAAAATTACAAAAACAATTTCCTTAAGCTATTTGTTAGCCTGCAAAATCGTGCTAAAGAGTCTCTTGCTAAGCTATCTGCAACAAGCACGTTTGAAGACAATGTTGAGGCGTTGTGTGGGCACAGTCTTCATGTTTCCACGTCGGAGCCTTATTTGTGGGAGTTTACGTATAGAGTGTTTCCTGGTAAACAAATAACTGTTGGTAATGAGCCCAGCACAGCTCATAGTTCTCCAAAGAAACAGTGGAAATGCAACTCAGATATGTGCTTCATTGAGCCTGACCACTTAGAGCAACTTAAATCTCTTTACAATGAAATAGTTGCCAGCTCTCTCACTAAAGGTTCTAAGCTTATTGTCAGCATGGGAGAGCACTCATGTCAAAGTGGTGTATCATCTCGTGTAGGTGTTCATCCTCACTCTTTGGACTGTTACTCAGGAGCATGTGTTTCGAAACTTCCTTTTCTGAGAACAATCTATCCTCACTTTCCTGCAATTCGTAGTCTTGTCTCCAAAATTTACCGACTGTTGAAAATAACTAAGAAGATTATGCTAATTAAAAATGGTATTCTTAACGTGCAGGTGAACGTGTTGTTTTCGATAGAAAGGGAATTTAAAGAGCAAACAAAAGCCTTTCTTACAGATGACACAAGTGAAAGCAAGGTCCCTGAATCTGAGTCTCAGTTGTTCGAAAAATATCAAAAAGCATTTGAGGCATTGGAGAAGCGTTCTTCTGAAACCCCAGTGTTTCCCTGTGTCTCATGCGATAAGTTGTTTAGTAAGCAGCAAGTAAGCCTTTTGAAAAACCTAAAAAATCAAATTGTAGGACACATATGGAAAAGAATAAAAGACATAAAGAAAGAAGAGTGCAAAACAGGATGGATTTGTCGGGGCTGCCTCGAAAAACTAAGGAAAGGTCAGATGCCTCCTACTTGCATTCTTAACGATCTCTATGTTTGTGCGCAGCCGAAAGAGCTAACTTGCCTTAACAGTTATGAAAAAGTTTTAATTCAGAGAGCCAAAGCATTTCAGGTTGTTACAAAAATGAACACAGTTGGGAAAAGAACAAGTCGAGCTCAGCAACAAATTTCTAAAGTCGTTGGAAGAAGTTTTCATTTGCCACTACCCCTTCAAGAAACCCTGCAAAAATTGCCCAAACCAAGTGACCCTCTGAATCCAAACCACGAGCTGTACGTTTTGGTCAGAGGGGTACCGACCAAAGCAAAGAAAGTTTGGCAAATGTTGGTTAGTGTGGATAAGGTACACGCAGCCTTAATTTTCTTAAAGAAAAACAACGCTCATTATGGTAGCATCGTACTACCTACAGATCCAGAAGGACTCTTCAACCTTAATGATGACACAAATTTGTTTCAATCTACCCATCAAAACGAACTGCCACCTCAGGAAATACTACATAGACGTGCTATATTAACTCAGGTAACTCACGAGGAATGGGATTCAGAAGAGTCTCACTATACAATCCACGCTCTTCATGAGTCAAAATCTTATAGTGATGACACCGAGCTCTATAAGATGCTGAAAGTGAATGAACCTCCGATTAGTCATGAAAACAAAGAGATTGACGTGCTTTGTTTCCCTGATTTGTATCCCGAAGGTAAATTTGGCCAGTTTCATTCCAGAGAAACTAAACTCTCTTCTGCTGAATTTATCAAATGTCGGTTGCTTTCAAAGCATTCTCAGTTCAGACTGAATCAGCAGTACCTTTTTTATTTGCTGCACGATGCAAACCTTCGGCAGTTAAGACAAGGAGTATTCCACAAGCTCAACGTCACTGGATTCAGTGGCTCTCTTAGTGCTAGAGACTGTTTGAACAACCTTGCATCGGGAGAATTAGAGGGGAACCTGACATCAGTATTCTCCAAACTCAGGAACACTAGCCAGTACTGGATACAGCCTAGAAATGATGTCAATTGCATGGCTCAGCATTATGGACCAGCTACATGGTTTTTAACCATAAGCCCAAGCGATTGGAACTGGGATGACATGGCATTGTTCATTAGGGAAGTTAACCGGAGTGTTCCAGGCGCAGAAAAAAAACAAACTAGTGAACTTGTGGCTATGGATCCTATCAGTGCGTCACGGTTTATCCATATAAAGTTCAAGGCAATGTTGGATTTTATTGTCTCTGATGCTGCTCCTTTAGGAAAAGTAAGTCACTACTTCTACAGGCGAGAATACCAAAGCAGAGGTCTCCAACATTTCCATCTTCTTCTGTGGGTAGAAAATGCTCCTGTAATGGGGACGTCCAGCAACGCAGAAGTAGCCGACTTTATCCTTAAGTACATTACTTGCAAGGTTCCAAATGCATCCGTTTCACCTACTCTCAACAACAGAGTTACAAGTTACCAAATGCATCACCACAACTCGTACTGTATGCGGACAAAGAAAA